ACCACTTCACTATATATGATTAACTGCACATGAACATACATGGTAAGTCGAACAACACAATGGACAAGGATATAATGCTATCATTATGAGATTAACAATAATGTACAATATCACATTATCATAGGCCATAAAATTTACATGATAAAGGTCTAAAATAAAAACATCAAATATAAATTAATATGTTTCTTACGACAAAAGAACTAAACCTAACAAAATAATTCATCTACACAACACCTATGTGCCCTTTTTTCTTTTCCTTGAATTAGTCGTCCACAGTGTTTTGACCATAAAACTTTTATACCTTATTCTTGGATGAGCTTTAAGTCAAACATACATATTTGACCTTTCACAATACAACTTTGATTCTTCTTGTATTTTAATATGATGTTTCATCTCCTTAATACTATTACTGCCTTCACATACAGGAGACAAGTCAATCCCAAATGATGGAGGATTTGCCTCTTCAGTTGATGGTTTTGTTTCATCTAACAATTCATGTATTGTATTACGTCCTCCTCTAGTTTTTCAATTCTTGATTCTTGTTGTTTGGTTAGAGCAATCAATAATTCATTCTCAACAACAATTCCACACAACATATCAGTACAATTTTTCAATTCTTTAGATTCATGGGTGGTATGTGTTAACACTTCTTTCATTATATCACGAGTAAGGTCTTTATTGTTGACACACAAGTCATGAATAACCTATGAATCAAAAACAATATCAAATTCATATCACATTTTCACATATGGTAAAGTAATGTTGTAAACAAGTGGATGTCAAGAAATCAGTTTACAATTTTTAATGAACTAACCCTATTATAATTAAACGCAACTACAATTATACTTTCCCCAATTACAACAGAGGTCCATTGTAAAAATCTCGGAAATCGACTTATGTCATTACATGTTTTGGTATTGTAAAGTAGATGTTCCATAGCTCATACATGAATTATTATCAATAAAATGCACAATATCAAATTAATTGACTACATTGAAAGTAGTCTAACAAAGCATAAATCATAATTTAGGATTTACCTGTAAAAAAACACACATCTTAGTACATACAAGTGTGAAAAATTTCTTCGCTTCTTCAAATAAATTGATGCTTCACATAAACTTTCAACCAAATATTCATATACTGTTTTTCCCCAATTATACTTTCCAAGACAAGATATATTATCTACTAACTTAAAAAATTCAAGATGTGTGGTACCTAGTTTATTTGGGAATAAAAACTCTGACAAACCTAAAAGTATATACAACCTACAAAAATCATCAACATCCTTGTCATTTTTACATTTAACAAGTTCGTTGAGAATAATTTCCAAAGTAACATGTTTTCCATTAAATAATATCCTAGTATGACAATCAATGTCTGTTTCTACAATTTTGACATTTTCGTCTACTATACAAAGTCCTAAACCTAAACACACATCTAATAGTGTAAAACATACTATTTCAGACCTTATATTAAATCCTCCTGTCTTTTCAACCCATCTACTTATTAATTTACTAAGCAATTTCTACTAATTTTAACCTTTCTACACAATGAAATCCATCAACCATTTAAATGGTGTTGACTCAATACGACCTTTTTGTTCTGTTGTAAGAATGTTATGCACTTTACATAAATAATTTCTCCTACAAACATGTCGCAAATATACATGAAAATCACAATAAATAATTATAATTATCACTAAGAATATCCAATATTATACAAATAGATACAATATTCACCTTCTTAACATTTGAAGATCCATCATCTATGCTTCCATGTCTTTCCATTTCAAACTGCAAATACAGTAATCCTATTTAATTTAAGTTCCTAGTATACAATTTATTTACTATGATGACATTTACTACAAGACCAACAAATGCATATACTTCTTTTCATTCTTAAAGGTCAATAACATGTAACAAGAAAAGTCATATATCAATCACAACATCCAATACAGAAATTTACTAATTAAAATTATAAACGTCCAAAATTTCTCTCATACAGCAAAGCAATACAAATTGAATGGTAGCAATACAAGCAGTACATTCATTAATCTTCGCGTTAGCAATACAAGCAGTACATTCACTCATCTTTGCTCTAGCAATACAAACAATACATTCATTCATCTTCAACAATAAATATTGTGTAATCTTGTAATGTCAATGAACAAAAACTAATCCTAAACCTAAATTGTGACTACAAAACACATTAACCTTAATTCTAAACCTAAATCAACAAAAATTAACCATAATTCTCAATTAACTAAACCTAGCATAAGGCATACACAATAGATGTAAGGGGAGGGATTGTGCGATTGAAAGTAGTGACAACCAACAGCAAAGGCGGTGCAAAGCACAACCTGGAAGCAATACGCAACAGTAACTCAAAATAGTGATTGTGCGATTGAGAATAGTGAGAACAAAATGCAGGCAACAACTCAAAATAATGATTGTGCGATTGAGAGTAATGAGCCAAAGCAGTGCTAAGAGATGGTCAGTGAGAGTTGATAGAAAATTGTAAAAGGAGATGCAATCACAATTGGTGAGTGAGAGCCGGTAAGTGAGAGTTCAACCGAGAATCTAGAGGGAGAGAATGAAATGGAGACTTGAAAGATAGTGAGAGCTGACAGAAAACTGCAATAGGAGATGCATTCACAACCGATGAGTTAAATGAATGGGCAGAGGGAGAGAGTAAAATGAAGACGTGAAAGATAAAAGAAAAGAAATTAATGTGCAGTTTAATATTTTTTTATTCAGTTGTTGAACGGTTGTCTAAAAATGAGTTGTCAATATATTGTAACTCTTGTTTTTTAAGAATAAATCAAACTATCGTCTAGGGATGGAAAAACGGGTCAGCCCGCCGTTTTGGCTCGTCCGCCAAAAGCGGGCGGAGCGGCTGACTCGTTATAGTCATGACGTGTCAGTAGACCTTGGTCCGCCTCGTCAAGGGCGAGGCTGGATGTCATAATTTAGAAAAAAATAATTTATTTTTTAAAATATATTTTTTAATAAATTTAATAATAAGATTATTATTTGTTTGTCAATAATTCAATATATATATTATTTCAATTTAATAATACAAATCAATACATTATTTTAAGAAATTATAATTTAGAACAATAATAAAATTTACATAATAATAAATAATAACAAATATATATATATATATATAAATAACGTTAAAACTTATAAAATTTCTATTTTTTATATTGAAAAATTCAAATACCTATATCTTTTTTATTTGATAAAACTTAATAGTATTCTTGGTTAAGTAATTCTTACACCTTTAATTCAAGTAATAAGGATAAAAATAATCGATGCTTAAGATAAACAAGGAAAAGAGGAGGAGAGAGAAGATTATGTTTCAGTAAGGAGAATATTTGCTGTAAGAGTGAAACTTTTTTAATTATCTTTTTAAAATTTTTAACTTTATATATTATCTTTATAATTAATTTTATTACAATAAAAAATTATTTTTTTATTAATTAGGCGGGCCACGGCCGGCTCCGCCCGGTCCTGCGGGTTGGCCCGATAGGTTGGCGGGTTTGACGGGCGGGCCAAAGCGGTCGGTGGGCTGAAAACACCAACCTGCCCCGCCATATTATGGTGGGCTGGCGGCCGGTCCGCTGGGCCTAGCCCCGTTTTGTCATCCCTACTATCGTCTTAGTTTCAGTCTTCAAATTATTATATATTTTTTTTTATTAAGTAGTTAGTAATTGTTTAAAAAATATTTCTTTTATTTGTATTAAATAGTGTAGTAATATTATTCTTGAGAGAGTGAAACTTGAATGTATTTTGTTTTTCTTATGAAATAATTTTATATCATTCTTTTAATTTATATTAAATGTTTATTTCTATCTGATAGATACATGATTGTTAAAGTCATATAATTTAATTTATATTAAATATTAATGATTTTTGAATTTGAATTTTATAAAAGTATGAATAATGATCTCATACTTAGAATTGATTAAAATCATTTTAATATATTGAATTACTTTTAATATAATTTAAAAGTATTTCTAATGAGAGTTTTGAGGAAGATGTGTAGATTAAACATTAGTTGTTTCAAACTATTTTTTTATTGGAGGAAATTTACGTGGAATAATCTTTTATTGAAGGAAATTCATGTGGAATGAGATGTTATTTAATTTTTTTTATAATTGTTTTATTAAGTAATTTATAAAAATAAATAAAATAAAGAAAATGAATAGAAAATAAAAGAGAATGAATTTTTTAGAATTTATTAGGAAAATTTGTATTGGAGGAAAATTAATGATAAATTATTTAAAAATAATGTGTTATATAATAAATTTATATTTTAGATTTCTTTTAGATAAAAAAGTAATTTATATGAATTGTTTTGATTGGAAATGTTTTGATTGAAAATGTTTTAGATGTTGATTTATTTTATTTGTAGAATTTGAATAATTAAGTTTATTTAATATATTAAGAGGTTAGAATAAATTTTAACATATTAATGGTTTATAATATAATAAGTAATGCATTAATATTTATCTATACATTAAACTAATTTTGTTCTTCCTCGAAATAAGAAATACATTGGAATAACATGATAAGAAAAACAATAGAATTACGAAATCATAGCTTGGTAGCATATCAAACCATTGTTGAGAATGTGATAATTATCCTATTCTGTTATAATATATAATTAACATTGAGTCGCAATAAAACTTAATAAAATTATCATTTAAAATGCTAGTAAGGCAAGATCATATGTGACTTGCATTTCTTTAAAATTAAAGTTGTTCCATATTAAAAAATAATAGGCGCAACCTTTTGAAATACTAAAAAAATAAAGAGTAAGAAGAGGACCAGAGGGATATAAGTTCAAATTCTAGAGTTATAGCACACTTAAAATGTATCTCGTATGTGAAATATAGGCCACTAGTTATTGTAGCTGCTGATATGCAGAAAGCACGTCAAATACTATATGAAAACAGACCTACTTCCACACAGAAAAATAGAAGGACAAATGCTTTAGGCATCAGTTTCAATAGCAGTTTCTGAAGGCTTGTTTTCAGGCTCAGCTGAGGTAACAATTTCGGTTTCCGAAGGCTTGTTTTCTGAGGCAACAGGTGCAGTTTCTGAAGGTTTGTTATCATTTTCAGCTGAGGCAGCAGGTGCGGTTTCTTTGGGCTTGTTTTCAGGTGGTGCTTCATCCACCCAAAATGCAGTCTTCTTCCCAGTTTTGGAAACGGCTTGCAGAACTTCATCTGGCTGTACATTTCCTTTCACTGTCACCTTCTGCTCCTTCAGATCAATGTCAAATGACTCAACACCTATAAATATTAACACCATTATTTTGATATAACATTGCAGAAATTTTGGAGGGTGAAGGGCCATTAACACAGCTAAAAGGAAGTCAATACTTCTCATTTTCTGGTTATAAGAAATGAGTAAAGACATGTTGAACATTAATTTTGCCTTGAAGAGAAACGTAATGTGAAGAATACAAATGAAACTAAATGTGTGCAAAGAAAAAATATTCTTCTTTTTAAGTGGTGCAACAAGGCACACAAGTCAAACAACTTTGCAGACACAGCATATTAAAATTTGAGGCAGCATGTTTTCTTCTTCCATCAACTTCTAGCAACTGTTTTTTTCCAATCAATCAGAGGAAAATAACACAACAGTTATGGCTCGAGTTGGTGCTGATTTTAGCAATTTTAATGCGTCTCCTCGCTGGGGAAATGTTATGTTTAAATGGTACGCACAATGTCAGAAATTAGAAAGTTGATGCATGTCATAGATGGTGATGGCAATGTTAGCGTTTAAACATTCCAGGCTAAAGAAATTTCAGACCAATATAGTAACATGATCTGTTTATTTGGGATATTCAAAGTTTCATTGAATTGGATTGTGATCCCATTAGAAAGAATTTTCTCATGAAGCTAAAGCTAATAATGAACATGGAACAAAACTTTTGCTTGTCACACACAATACTTACGAACGTAAAAAACTTTTGAAAATCCATCAAACATGTCCCAAACTTCAATGAAATAAATTATCATATTATATATTAAAATACAGATAAGAAACTATTAACCTTGTACCTACATGCAAAGAAAATGAATAAATTCATGAAAATCAATTAAAAACCGTTAAGTGGTTATTCGCAATATGAACAAAAGACCACGGATTTAAAGTGGAATGCTACACTAATAAACCCAACTTGAGACTAAGTTCTGAAATAACAGACCTAGAACTTGCAAATGAATAACAGTATAATCATTGAGTAACCAACCAGCCCTTACCCATTGCAAGATATTATTGATGATGTCTCATAGTCAATTGTGAACAGGAAAAACACACAATCTTATAATTACAGCCTAACAGTGAAAGCCAAGGAGTTTAAGAAAGACAGACATTAACAAGAACTTCAGGTGCTTAATACACTCATTTGAAGTATTTTACAGAGGAAAGAAATGGAAAAGAAGTTCTAAATTATGAAAACAGATGACAATTTAAAACCCAATACTTCTGGTAATTGGACTGTGAATCATGCAGGATACTTTGAATGCAAAATTAACAAGAGCAATGCCATCGAAAATTGACACGTAAGATATTATTACATTGTTACAATAACTAGATCATTTTACTTTGGATCATATAGTAGAGATAGTTTGCAGCAATGAAAAATACCTTCCATTTTCCCCAAAACCCTATTCACTGCTCCAGCACACCCTTGACATGACATACCAACTTTGAGGACAACAGTCTGCAACCATAATGAGAAAATTAAGATTGGAAGAGCAGAGAAAAGAATAAATAATCATCTTACCCAGCAATCATATATGAAAGAAACAAACTCACAACTTATATTTAAAATGAACTGGGATCAATTTTAGAGAAAGGGAAAGAAATGGACTATGGGGAGGAATTTAGGATACTATGGCATCAAACCCAAAGGTAGAGGGACAAGAGATTAATATACTATAATTTGTGATGTGAACACAGAAAAGAATGATCCCTTTAACTGCTGCTGTAAAAGTGAGATGCTACTAGTGACCTTAGTGCAACTGATCTGACATAAAACTAGATTTTGAAGGTTGTTATAAGCAACAGGAACTAGAAAAGTGGCGTCATATTCGAAGACTGTAAGAATCAACTAAAAGCCAGTCCAGTAAACTAAACAAAAAACAAAAATCACAGCTTTCAACAGTATATTGCAATCGACTTTTAATATAATGGGGCCATAAACTAGGACTTTTAACAAACAAGGAAGGACCAACCGTTGTAACTTTCTTACTATTAGATTTTAAGTTATATTTTAATTAGTTTGTTTCAAAGCAATGATGTTGAATTCTATATCAAGCAATTATGTTCTTTATTGGAACAAATCATCGGGAAGAAAAAGCATAAAAATTGATAAGAACATCAGATATGTTACATTCAACCGTTGAGGACCTGCAACCATTGAAAGAGAAACTGAAGATCCGTGAAAACAAAATAAATATGAACAAAACAACTGAAAGCAAAGTATATAGGCAACTTCTCAGAAGGATTCTTATGAGCAGATGTTGAACTTTTTCTAAGCTAATTGAAACTCAAAATTTCAAACCCCATAATATCCAATACTTCATATTAGGATTCTTAACCAAAAAAAATAAAAATAAAAAACCAAGTATTTGAATAAATTCATATTTTTTTTAAACTAAATTTCATGGGCAATCACATCTAAAAAGATTCCAGCTTTACCTATATAAAGTAATAAAATCACTCTTCCCCACCCAATCCTTAAAGCTTGCTATATTAGTAATTACTATAAAAAAAAAAGGTATCATCATAATCCTAATATCTCAAACTCAGAAACTCATCAAGTTCGGCACAAACACCTAGAACAAAGAACCATACAAAGCAAGAATATGGAAAATATAAAGAAGACTCAGAATCACAACGATCAGGCACATGATACTGAGTAAAGAACAAAGGGAAAGAAAAAAAAAATCAGGAAGTGGGTTGAAAACCTGAGAAGACATTGTTATGTGTATGCAAGAAAGTGAAGAAACAGAGAAGGAATAATAATATCAAAAACTGGGTGGTAATGGAATATAGAAGGTTGATGAGAGTTGTGTTTTTATAGCCAAAAAAACTCCAAATCCCCACAATGGGAGTGCGTGTGGTGCAAGACAGAATAGTAGGATTCCGCAGCAGAAGGCAATTTGGTGGGCCATTGTATTTTGGTAATTATTCTTCTTCTTCTTTACATCACATTTCCCTTCTTCGCAAATCACACATTTTATTGTTGCTTAGCTTGCTTAAGGTAATTTTTTATATTTTTTTCTAAGTAATTTTAATCTTTTTATTTAATCATTTCATTATAACTTTTTTTATCATTTTCTCTTTTACAAATCTTTAATCTCTTTATTTCTATTATTTTTAATAAATTTGATAAATACAAAATTAATTTTATTTTCAATTCATATTTCTTTCAATTTTTATATCAATTTTAATATTAATTTATTTTTACAAAATATTTCATATTTTTATATTTTATTATTCTTATTTATCATATATTAAATTTTAATTTAATAAATTAATTATATTTTTAAAAAATTTAAAAATTTTAATAATTAAAATTTTTATTATTTTTTTATTAATTAAATTAAAATTAAGTTATTAAATTTTTTTAAAATTATATATTCATTTAAAAAATTAATATATATATATATATACAATCAAATATTCGAATATAATATTATTATTATTATCATAATAATAATATTATTATAATATCTTATATAAAAAAATATTATATATAATATAAATATAATAAATTAAAGATATACTTAATTAATAATTATTAACAAAATTTAACTATTTAATTATGTATAAAAAATATTAAAATTAATTATAAGTATAATTATTTATTTTTTATAAATAATGTAAAACAAGGACAAAATATGAGCGAAAAAAATCTAAGGAAACAGAACTTAAGACTTAATTTTATAATCTGATGAGAATAAAAAATTAGAATGAATATAAAGAATAAACAGAGTTTGAGATTTTTAGGTGGATCACTAATCTATTGAGTTCATACTAATTAAATTAAAAAAAATTATTTTTCTGACTAATTATAAAATTATCTTTATTTACATTAAAATCTTTTAAAATAAATGAAAAATAAAAGAAATCAATAGAAAAATATCTCTGTCTCTAATAAAATAAGAAAAGAAGTCATAACTAGAAAAAAAGAAAAAGTTAGTTTCATACAAATAAATACTTGAAGAAAAAATTAATTTATTCTCGTTACTCTGTATTTAAAATTAGATACATGTAAGTATTATATGTTATCTATTATAGTGTTTGAAAAAATTGTTATTAAAGAGAATTTATATTGATTAACGTAATTATTTAATATATATATAAAAAGAATATTATGAGGACTAAGAATATTACATCTCACCCAAAAGTAATCACTTTCTCAAGATCTCACATCTCATACTCTTCTTCTTCTCATCTTTTGATAAAAGTTGAATCTCATTCCATTTAAATTTTATATATATAAAAAAGATATATTTGAGTATTAAAAAAATTGTTTATTCATATTATTTTTTAGTTGATGAAGAATCATGAGAAAACAAAAGCATCGATGGATGTCTCCTTTAACAGTGGATGCTTTTGCATGCAATAATGTGAAGTGGGTGGTTTCGTCATTCAACAACAACAACACCAACACCAACACCAACACCAACGACACAAACTCTATCCTCTTCAGTGGAATTCATTCCTTAAAGCACAAACATGCCGTACAAGAAATGTGTTTGCAGCATCCACCACTTCTATTGTTAAGCAACCATTTAACCTACTTTTTTGTTCTTTTCATAATCTCCTTTGTACTTCCCAATCCACTCCTAATTCTGAATCCAACGTTGTAGTACAAGGTCGAATCTCTTATGGTGTACTATCTTCCCTTCAATTTGTACCAAACTAGTTATCATAAAACACCTTTCAGAGAGTGGGAAAATTTAATATTAAGTAAAAATTAGATAATTCAGAAATCTATAACCACAATTTAAATCTATATATCACGGTATGTTTAGAAAATCTTATATTGTTTACCGAAAGAAATAGGTGGTAATTTATATTTTTTTTCTTTCTTAATTAGTCGAGACAATTCTAAAAATAAAATTGTAGCGGATTATATTTTTAAAACAAATATTATTTGACATTCTCATTCTTAAATAAAATATTAGTATTATTTTCTAAAATCTAAAACATAGTCTCAATTTAATCTTATTTCTTAGTGCTTCGTGAGATCCCTATATTCTAGTACGAGTTTTATATAATAAAAAATTAAACTCAATAATAATATATATATATATATATATATATATATATATTTTCTAATATTCTTTAAAAGGTAAAATTATAATAATTAAAATTTCAATTTTTAAATAAAATATAATATTATATTCTCTTTTGTTCACGTTTCTTTATATATAATATTTTTAAATAAAAATATATACATTTCCATAATAAATATATATATATATATATATATAAAAAATAATAATAAAAAAAATGTTATTTGATTGAAAAATAAATAAATTTAAAGAAAGATGTATGCGTCTTAAACTGTAATTATTGATTTTATTTTTCTCTTATTTTATTAATATAATTAATTATTTTACATTTAAACGCATTTATTTCAAAACTATTTTTTCTCTTTATTTTTTATTTTTCATAAATTAACTCATTTAAATTATCTTATCCTTCATTTAAACATTTGTTTATATATATTTTTTTATCATTCTTTCCTGACTCTTTAAAGAGTTGAAGTAGAGATAGTTTGTAACTCCATTAATCATATAACAATAATATATATATATATATATATATATATATATATATATATATATATATATATATATATATCACAGTCACGTATATGGACAATAATTATGGAGTTTGTAATATATAATTTTTTAAAATTTTATAATAAAAATATAGAATAATATTAATAATAACAAATAAACAATGATAAATTAATTAATTAATATTATAAAAAGCATAACAACTTCCTTTTATTTCTATTCTCTCATTTTATAACTTTTTTCCTTTTGCTTTATTTTATTCTTCTCTAGCATAAAATAATCGAATAAGAATAAGATTTTGAGAATAAATACGGATGGAGCGATATTATGTATATATTTCTTTATATATATTTAAGATACTCTAAATTTAATTTGAATTTAAATTAACTATATTAGTACAATATTTGTTTTGAGCTAACTATTTATAACAGTAACAAAAATAATGTAAGCATAAAATAATTTTGAGACAAAAAAAAAACTAAACCATGAAAAAATAATAAACAAAATGCAGAGAAAAAAAAACAATACAACTTTTACTGTAAAATTCTTAATCGAACAAAATTCATAAATAATATATATATATATATATATATATATATATATATATATATTCTCCACTTTCTAGAAAAATAAAATAAAATAATTTTATGAAAATATATGATGAAAATCATAATAAATTATTATTTTTATCAATAAAAAAACACTCTTTTCTCTAAAATAAAATAAAATAAACAGACTATAACCAATAGCACGAATCCCAATTTATCAATTTAGAAAATAAGACTCACTTTTAACCTACCTGACCACAATGTAATAATAAAAATATTTTGATAATTTATTATATTATCTAATTAATTTATTTTTTATTCTATCAAATCAAACAAATTAATTATAAACTTTATATTAATTAGACTTATGGAATGAAAGGACTCCGTTTTGTGCGTATCATCTAAAAGATTAAAATATATTATTGTTTAATGGGGTGAATATTGAAAATAATTGCTTTGTGTTTCTGAAAACCAAGAATTTCTGTGACTGTCTTCTATGGTCTAAAGAAAACAAAAACTACATCATCAAAATTTATCAACTATCTGACAAAATCTTTGATGGACCCAGAATTTCTTACTTTTACGTGCCTAAAATTTCTATGACAAGTAAATGGAATATGTCAAAACCTTTTTTCTTGACTTGCTTGTGTGCTATGGATAACAATATTATTGGTAGAAAAAGAGATGCTCAAGATACCAGTGTTATATCAATTAGTTGTCTATTTTCTGCAATATATGTGTGGGAAATAACACAGGAAAAAGTACTAGCCCTATAAGAACCCTTTATGCATAATGTAATGAAATTCACCAATAATCTTTACATGAGCAAGTTCCATCTTTAAAATGGTGGAAGCGATTACGGTCTCTTACAGTAATTTCCCGTTCATAGATCATGGAAATGAACTTGGTGTACGTATGACAGTCACTGCACATTCTTAGATTTCTTGATATTCTTATGGGGGATCTTTCAGATGTCTGCATTAGTGCAAAAGCAATTGCCAACTTCTGACTATGGTGTTTCAGTCTCTGTCTCTTTTCTTCTTCATCTACATCAAGCAAAACCTGTGACATATCTGGTGTATAACCTTCAAATTTCAACTGCCATTCCATTTGGTGAATCATATCATAGATGGTGTCACACTGTGGTTGAGACTTGTCCTGTGAAACAAACTTGTAGACCTTCTTATTTGCTTCAACCAAACTAAAACCAGGTGTTTGCACCAAGTGTTTTTCAGCCATTTCTGTCCTGATCCTGGCCACATCAGTCCAGTTTTGAGCCCTTGCATACATACTTGCCAGCACCAAATAGTCCCCGGGGTTTTGCTGATTCAACTTGAAAATATTCTCAGCTGCAATCTCCCCCATTTCCAAGTTAAGGTGAACCTTACAAGCACTAAGAAGGCTTCTCCAAACCACATCATTAGGCTTAATTGTCATGCCTTTTATGAGGTCATAGGCTTCCTTGAGCATCCCAGCTCTCCCCATAAGATCCACCATGCAACCATAGTGCTGAATTGTTGGTTTGATTTTATGCTCAAGTTGCATGCGGTTAAAACATTGAATACCCTCATTGACAAGACCAGCATGACTGCAGGCACTTAATACACCCACATAAACAACATCATCAGGTGCCAAACCTTCTTCCAGCATTTCAGAGAAAACTCTTAGAGCTTCCCTACCGCGGCCGTGAAAGGCTAGCCCTGAGATCATGACAGTGTAAGAGTATCTATTCTTCACAGACATATTTTGGAACACACAAAGCCCTTTCTCAAGGCTCCCACATTTCACATACATATCAATTAGTGAAGTCTTGACAACAACATTGAGCTCACTAATGTTCCGCAACAGGATCCCATGTATGCACCTTCCAAGATTGGGAGACCCCAAATGAGTGCAAGCAGAAAGTGCACTTACTAGAATGCTCTCTTCAGCCCTATGGCGTCCTTCACTGCTCATGTACCCAAGAAGCATCAAACACTCTTGCCACAATTCCACACTAGCATGAGCACCAATGATGGAACTCCATGAAGCCACGCTCTTTTCGTCCATTTGCTCAAACACAGCACAAGCATGCTTTATTTCCCCACACTTACCATACATGCTGATCAAGCCATTCTGCACAAAGATATCATCCTCAAGACCTGCCTTAAAAACTTGACCATGAATTTGCACTCCCTCCTTCAGAGCACCTAATAGAGAACATTCCTTGAGTACAAACGGGTAAGTGAATTTGTCAGGTTCAATTCCTCTTTCAAGCATCTCAACGTAAAGTAACAAGGCTTTTTCCAGATTCATGTTATTGACATTTCCTCTAATCATGGTATTGTACTCAAAGCTTCCAGGTTCCTCAAGTTGCCTGAAGATTGAGCAAGCATAGTCCATGCTGCCCCATCTGGATAGAGCACAAGTGGCAACAAGATTGCTGCCACAGAAAGAATCCCAGAAAAGGCCCAATTTTAGAATTTGCGCATGAACTTGCTTGAATTCCTCCATGCTCTTGCATCTCTTGAGCAAAGACAACCATCCCTGCTCATTGCACTTTGCATTCAATTCAGAGCTTTGGGGTGGATTATATGGAAGTGACAAAAGATGGGATTTGCAAAGGACGGATGTCCCACTCATCCTTCCATCCACACCATGTTAAACCAGTAAGCTAAGCTAAACATAAAATATTGTACAACCCATTATCTATCTAGTCAATAAGATACAAATTGCAATTGATGAAAGTATTTTTCAATACGAGTAAGAATTTAACTCGAAAGCTGAACATAGAAACTGAAGAGAGATGGGATTATGCACCAGAAAAGGATGAACTTTATGTTCCATGATGCAAGGAAAGTTTATCAGATGGCTGCAGAGTGTTTGACAAGTGTGTATATGAATGAAACCAGGTTGTAAGGATTCCATTTACTGAAATGGCAAGGGGAAGAAGCATTGGTGTAGTTTTGGCCTTTTGGGGCGTGACAACGAAATTTTATTCCTTTTTTTTTCTCAAAGGGTTTTTCAGAAGAAGAAAAAAAATGGTAAATTTCATAGGATTTGAATGCGATCCATGAAATTTGAGACAGCATTTGCAGCCACGAAAAAGCAGAGTTGCATTATGGAACATGGGATTTCTGGATAGGATAATGTTTCAGCCCACCAGATGCTCCTCGCAAGTTAGAAGGCCTCTCATATCTCGCCACGTGGTATGCTTGGATTTAGTTGCGTAATTACTTTTCAACCCTTGAAAATTACGAATATATTTCCATGGGATTTTGTGATTTTCTTATGTTATTACAATCAATATAAAGGGTTTTGGGAGTTTCGTTTTGGCATATTGAAATCAGTCACAATGAGACGATGGAACTTGAAAGCCTTCATAGTTGAACAGTTTCGTTTATATTAGAAAAAACGAAAAAGGAAAAGTACGCTAAAAAAGGGTCAAAAGAAATTAAATTAAACCAAGTTCAACTTATTGCATCCCAACATGACAACAGATAAAAACACATAAAAAAATGATAAATAAAGTTATATTAGTAAATGAAAGAAAATCTTTATGTTAATTATAGTTTCATCACAAGAACTCGAATGAAAATGGATTGAGGGATTCAGAAAATTCGGTGATGAAAATTACATCTTTGATCATGTTTAATATGCCAACGTGACCTTTTTATTAGTTTTCAATATTTGACGGACCAGGTGAGTAACAAAAGTGAGAGGGTATCAAAATGGTGTAAACAACAAGTTTCAATGAGACCTAAACTGCCAAAACCACAACCAGTCTCCATGTTAATGATATGAACGCAGAATGTTATGGTCCTATGATAAAAGTTTAAAGAACATAGCACAGAACCCCAACGAGTTTGGTTTACATATTTTCTAATGACGACCCTATCTGTAAAATACCAATAAAACAAAAAAGAGAAAGAAAGAAAGAAAGAAGGTATAGAAAGCCTTAGAAGCCCAATTTCAGAAGTAAAACATTACAACATCATAAAAATGAATTTCATCTTTGTTCTTGAAGCTCGGCATCTTCTACTCTTTACAAATGATTGCATCTGGAAACATTCAGAGATATTACTTTCTGGACCTTTTCGAGTTACCCTTCTTACGCCCTTCTGTACGATGTTTTCTCTTGGAAGTACTGCTGTGAGACACAGCATTAGGGGCAGACTGAGATGGCACATGATGCCCATGAACCACAGCAGGGAACCCAACAGCAGAGGTTCTGCAACATGAACATGAACAAAACCTTAAAAACGAAATCTAATTTGCTTGAACTGCATCAGACAGCTTTCATATTTTCATTAATACATGAGACTGGGCGATTTCCTTTTTTTTTTTAATCTTAGAATCACTTCCAGCCTAGCATGGATAAAATTGGTGAGTGGGTTGGAATTTCCATGTTATAATTTATTCTGATTTTGGCATAAGCAGAAAATTTGCATTTTAGGAAAAAGAGGGAGGTTTTTGTTCTGAAAAAGCCCAAAGGCCAGTTAGTGATTTTTCAATCCCTCTCCTTAAAAACATCCAATTTTAGGGGATATCTCTACATACATAATTTTTAATCCGTTTCAGTTCTATCCATAGGAACTAAAGAGATTTAGAATGTTGTGTAGGAACGAAAAGGAGTTAAAAATTATATATGAATGAAGAGACTAAAATGAGAAGGTTTTAGGTACTGGAACTAAGAAAAAAAAAATTAACTGTAAATACTTCATGAATAATTAAATGTTTTAACATTTATATAACATGATGAGCCTAACTCGTATGACTTTTTCAATTCAAACTCGAACAGACTAAACATATCATTATATTACTTAGCTCAACATGACCATTAAAACACTAAAGAAAATTCGAAATATCCGGTCCTCAATATTAAGAAGACATCATGAAAGTTACTGGACTGACAAAGAAATAGTTAGCAACTTAAAAAGGCATATTATCCTTGAATGAGTTAGGCTCACAAGTAAGCAAATTGAATATCAATTTAGCATGGGTTGTGGGTATGCTCACAAAAATTTAGGTCATCGAAGACAAGGTTATAACTTATTAATGCTTTGGCGATGCCAAAACATGAAAAAATGAACAGTTAGCATAAAATTCATTTAAGAAAACCACCGAAGGGAAAGGCCAAGTCATCAAACATGCAAATCTTGAAACCAAATTAGTCAAGCAAAGTTGCTATTGTCACCCAAATGAATGCCCAAAATAAAACAGCAATGGCAATAAAAGAATGGTTATTCGACTTGCCATCGCAAGCCTTACCCAACAAGAGCACAGCAGACTCCTGCATGGTCATGGAAGCACCATATGCGCCACGCGATTGCAAGCAAAGCCGCAAAGCATTGTTCTCAGCATAGCAGCACTGAAGCAAATGCCCCAGTCTTCTGCATTCCCCTTCTAAATACCTACTCTTCGCCTCAAGGTTTTTCACATAAGCCTTCTTCCTCTCCCTTGATCTAACAGCAGCATCCCTATTCCTCAACTGCCTGAAAAACACAGTTGAAGACACCACTCAAGACCATAACAATCATCATAAAACGCCCCCACAGAACACAATATATGATTGTTTCGTTCTTATTAAATTCATAAACTCCCAAATTGACATTCATTATACTCTGTCAATACAAATTTGATAGCAAATAACAACATCCACCATAATTCAATGATGTAACCAACTACATCAAATAATCAAATAGTAAAATAATAGGTTTACAGAAAAATACTAACAAAAACGAACATTTTATACATCTAAATGTTACATCACATTACTCATTAACACAACGAAATTTATCAAATTCGAGTCTCACCAACATAAAAGTGCAATCTCTACAGCTTTCAAGTCCAACAATTACAAATAATCTTCCCAAAAGTATAACTAAAGCACACACATAAAGCTTTTAACAATTATAAAATAATAAAGTATGTCTGGACAAGTTTTTTTTTTTTTTTCATAATGACTTCCAAAAGAAAAATTTTAAAAGTTAAAGCATGAGTTCATTTGTGTGTATATATATATATATATATATATATATATATATATATATATATATATATATATATATATATATATATATATATATATATATATATATATAGCTTTCTTTTTATTTTTCTTCCCTAGCCAGAAAATATCGTCCAAACATACCCTATATATTAAGTACAAATTATTTTACCCTTTCACTCAGTTACAAACTGTCATATATGACTTTCTCCGATGACTAAAATATTTACACTGTCGACAAAAGAAAGTAGTCACTCTTTACCTCTTTAATTTCTTGGACATGGGTTCATTGGGAATTACGTCATCAATTCTGTCTTTGTCGGAGCCTTCCCCGGACTCTGTCTTGGAACGCTGGCTTTCCGGTCCTTCGTCGGGCTCCGTCAGAATCTCCTCAAGGAACTTGTAATAGTCGGAGTCAGACGAAGGAGTTTCGAGGAAGACGGCGTCGTTTTCGTCGTGGGACATGAGCAAGTTCTCGATCTGGGACAGAACGGAATTGTTTGGGGAGGGGTGGTCGGCGACGCTAACAGGAGCGGTGTCGTCCTGCAAAAAATCATGGACGTCGTCCGGCACGTTATCGAAGAAGGATTCCCAATCAAATTGGGTAAGTAGGGTTTCTTCCGAATTGTCCATGGGAGTAGAGGATTGAATTGAATTAGCGGAGAATAAAATATTTATTGGGAAATTTGGTTCTGCGTTTGTAACTTGGAGAGTAAGGAAAAGAAGAAGGAGTGTGGAACCGCGTGGATCTGTTTGTGCCGTCACTCCACCAATGGGATCGCGTACAGTGGCATGCCTTTTACACGTGGCTCATCTCAACGACCCAAAGTTTTTTTTTTCTTATTGAGGAAATGAAGAAAGTGGGGGTATAACCTAATTCAATTATCATAAACATAGAAATTTATTTTAATATTTAATAAATATCTAATAATTCAAAATCATGAGGTGGTGATGTTTTCCAATTGACATTGATTGTGACCATTTTTATTTTTATTTTCATCAAAGTTTGCCCAATTTTTATTAATTAAGAATACGAATATATAAAAAATAGACATAAATATAAATATTAAGAATTTTAAATCTTTATATTGAAGGTTGAATTTGAAATTACTTACGAGTAAGATTATTTTCATAATTTTTTAGAATTTCATTTTTTTATATTTTTTAATCCTAACAACACATTTCACTCTGAAAAAATATTTAACTTTTAAATTGTCATTTTAATTTATAAAAATATAAAATATGATGACATTAATCTTGAAAAAAAAATCTATATTGTCACTTTAATCTCTAGATTTATTAACTATTATTATCACTTTTTTTTATAATGTTTTATTGGAATATTATAGATAAAAAAGGTGGTTAAGACAAGAAACTCTGTTGAAACAAAATTAAAACAAAAGAATGCTAATAATATTTTTACAAAGTTTATTGAAAATTATAACTTTTTTATGGTTTAATTCATCGTCAAATGTTTTTTTTTTTAAGAGTGAAATCTATCACAATTTTTTTTATCTTTAATATATTATAATTAATACAAATTATTAAAAGAAATTCATTTAAAAAATATAAACAAATAATAAATTAGAAATGAAGAATATTTTTAGATTTTATTAATTTGAGAGGAGAGTACGAGTCCACTTTCCAGTGACCACAAAACACCACTGTGCACGTTGTTCCTACCACCACCATTCCTCAACAACTTTCCCACTCACTCTCTCGGAAACGTCGACGACAAAATGTTCACCTCACCTTCCTCCAAATTACTGTTGAGAGTTCAGCCACTGCACCCGACGGAGCCAATGTCTAACTCACTCACCCTCTCGCTGTTTCCCGCCACCACGTCCTCCTTCCTTCAGCGTCACCCCTACGCCGTTAAACCTCTAACTATTCGCTCCGTCACTCGCCGTTTAAAACCCGCAATCGTCAGAGCAGGTGACCGATCACAACAGGTTCTCTCTCTTTCCATCGCAAACCGTATCAGCTGACAAAAAAACAAAAATGAAAACAAGTGTTAATTTGAACTTGCATTGGTTCCCAAATTTAGGGGGAAAAAAAGCTGATTTCCTTTTTAATTTTTTTTTCTTAATGTGGTGAATAAAAACTAAGGTTTTTGTATGTATTTTTTAGTATAAAGTTTATGTTGAACCCAATTGTTGTTGTGAAGTGGACTAGGCTATGAGTGAGGTGGCTGACACGTTGGAGAAGATTTTGGTAGAATGATTAGTTTCATCCAAATTAAAGGTTTTTGGTATACTAAATGCGACCTTAAGTTGAACCTTCTTTGGACGTACATTGTAATTCATCCAGTGTAATGTATTGGAGTTGGTGTGGTGTTATAATGTTATGAGTTTTTGAATTTTTTTTAATTAATTTAATTTTGGAAATTCAGATGGGTGGCAATGGAAGTAAAGGGAGGGAGGGATTGAGTTGGGTGCAACCCATTTTGAAATTTGCAAGGAGCAACATTCTACCTTTGGGTCTGTCATATGCATTCAAATTTTGTTGTATTTTTTCTTTTGTGATTCTATTTATGGTTTACTTCATTTTGATTATGTTCTAATGGATAACAAATTTGTTTGTGTTTTTGAGGCAATGTATAGCTCTGGTCGGTGCAGTGACATTAGGATTAACATATCCTAGTCTTGGTTGTGCTGCTGATAAATATAATGTGTCAAAAATTGGTCCATTTGGAATTTTTGTTATCTCAGGTTAGTTTTCGAGGATAATCTTTTGCATGTATATGTTATTTTGATTTTATGTTAACTTATCTCAAGGTGTTATTGTGGTTTATCATATAGGATTGATGTTGCGTAGTGAAGAAATCGGTGCAGCTGTAGAAGCATGGCCTGTTGGACTCTTTGGGCTTGTATGAACATAAAATTTTTATGAATGAACTTTACAGACTCCGCAGGCAGTTTCAGTTGGTTATCCTAGATTTGATTGAAATCTTAACCTAGATTTGATTGGAGGGCCTGTGTCTGGGCTCTCTTTGCCTAATTGGAATGTTACAGATCATGCTGCAAATTTGTTATCCTGTTGTACATTGCAAATTTTAGAAGTTAATTTGTATAAGTTCTCTTATATTAACTTCTTCAAAAACTGATTTAGCTTATGCATAGGATAATATTAGCTTATGGAGAAACTTATTTAATTCTTTTTTAATTTCTTCTTCTATAAGGGGTTTGTATATATACAAGAAGATAAGATGTTATGAACCTGTTGAAAATTATCATCAACCTTGTATCCTGTTTCCTAGCAAGGAAAAAGAATTTAATCTCATATTTGTGGCTTACCTCTCTACTTTCATGGTCAAGAATAAAAGTTTTAACTTGAAAAACTAAATATTGTATCTCTTGTCATATTGTCTGTACAATAGCAGCAACTGAGCATATTGTTAGATGGGTTTGAGATGGATTACTTAACACCATTGAACTGAATAAATATCTCAACATTTTCTTGCATGTCTGCATGTTTTAAAAACTAAATCTCAAAGGTTATTTTTATGCATTTCCCAATGTGTAATGTGTTCTTTGGTTCTCCTTGCAGGTGTCTATTTTATTTCTTACACCATACTTTTCCAGGATAATATTGCAAATTCAGCTCCAACCCCAGGAATTTATTACAGGTTTAGCCATTTATTTATATTCTACCTTAAACATAAGTCAGTTTTAGCCATTTGCAAGATACTTTTATTGTAGTTTTAAATATTTTGAGTTTGTGAGTTTCTATATTGCTGTCCTTAGATCTTGTCAAACCTTGAATAACTGTCACATAATTTTTCCTTCATTCTGTTACCTTGTAGACTAATTTTCCATATATAAGAAACTCAAACTTCTTTGTTGAAGAACAAGTTCATGTTTGCAAATATAAAATACTATTTGGTAACAAAAATATTCCGCATTATTGAAAAGATCGCCTTTTGTTTGATATATATTGATTCATTGACACCTGTCTCTGCTTTAAGTTGATGGTTATATATTAGGTGGTTATTTTTCTTTAATAGTGCTTCTTTCAGCATGTGTTCAATAGCTGGTCCTATTCTTATTTTTTATCTAGTTTCAGCACAATATTTTGATATAATAGTAGGTCCATGTAGTGACTATGAATTGAGCACAAAAATACAGACTTAAAACATAGAACAGTAGGCATTCAGACTGCAGGTTTTGTAGGATGTCCTTACTCAGTTGGTAGGGCTTATTTACAGTGTATGATAACTAGACCAGAAGCTTGGCTAGATGTTTTAAGTAGGTAGAGTTTTTGGTTCAACCCTACATATAATGCATCCAGTGTAATGACACCTTTCAATTATATTGTGGGAAACTGGCTGGCTTGTATACAGCAATCAGAAAAAATAAAGAAAAGGCTTGGAGAGATGGTTGGATATATCTTGAATTTTGTACAGTTGTTGAAGTTAAGTTTCTTCTCCATATATTGAAAAGGGAGCCTTTGCAAAATGGTGGATTGAAGGAGCTACCTTTATTAGAGAAGAAGATGGATGCAACAAATTATCAAACGGCAAGACCTGTTGTGAACTTGACATATATCTCAATAAATAAGTCATAAAAAATAAACTATAGGTATTGTCTTATCAAATGACCAATTTTTTGAACTTTTGTTTAGTTGGAGGATGGATGGAAATATGGTTTTGTTTATTCATAGCAAGGTTTTCTCATTTCATTTGTTGTTTATTTGCCTTCTAAATACTGTGATTGTGCTTTAAAAAATGACTATAAAACTCTACCTTGTTTATATTTGCTGATCAACACTTCCACGTATATTCACTCTCCCCATTTTAGTATCATATATTGCACACTTTCAACAATTGATGCTCTATAATATCTCTACTAGTTGTTCATGGTTGGCTTTCTTAGTCATTAATTCTTGCAATTTGAGATATGAATTTCTGGGTTTCTATAGGGCTGGCTATATTTAGCTGTATGCCAACTACATTATCAAGTGGTGTTGCACTAACCCAGGTATGGTCATAGTTTGTCTCCTTTCTTGTTTTCCTTTTGGATTTATATTCTTATAAATTTTATATTCCTTTTTTCTACCACCCATAAACAAGTTGAATTTTGCTTGAGTTTTCTCACTTTGCTTCTGCAGCTTGCTGGGGGAAATTCTGCGCTTGCTCTTGCAATGACAGTAATATCTAACTTGTTAGGAATAATGATTGTGAGTCATAAAGAGTTACATATTTAACATTGCCCCCAATCTAATCTTGGTTTTACATTTTTATGAGTTTATCTCAGAAATTATATGAAAGTATGAAATTTAGGGATGTTACTCCAAACCTCCTTCTATTTTGCATTTCTTACACAAAACTTCTTTCTGAAATCTACACTAACCCCTCCTATTTTGTGAATATACTACATACATTTAAACTCAAAATCTTTATGTTTGTATGTAATTGACAAAAATATCCTTGTCATAGACTCTCATGAGACAGACTCTCCTTTATTTGTTAAACATTACATAAAACCTCATTGATAAATACATTACAGCTAAATCCCTCCATTATAGTAAAAATTTGAAATTGTTGAACAATTAAGTGTCAAAAGTTTTAAATTAACATTAAATAACAGAAAAGAATAGTAAAATACATTATCATTTCAGATTTAAAATAGAAAGGTTATTATTAATTTTTTTTAATAAAAATCTAATAAAAACATAATCACTTGAGTTATGAATGTTGGAGATCTTATATCCACCAAAGATTTATCTCATCTTATAAACTGGTTTTGTAGGGTTAAGTTAGACCCATATTGACTTTCTAAGATGATATCAGAGCCTATCCAATTGAAAGTTGGACATATCATTCCACCCATTATCAGGTCTCTATTGGGCCACTCATAAATATTCAGTTTCACGCTTTGTAGGGTTGACTTAGGCCTATATCCACTTTCTAAGAATTAACAAGATTCAATAAAACTGATTTTTTAAAAGTGGTTTTTTAAGAATTAAATATCAAAAATGAAATTAGTTTACTCGATTTAGTTATTAATATATCATTTGATTAAGTTTTTATTGAATTTTTTATTTCAATAATTTTGAAATATTTCTTATTTATAATTTTGTTATTAACAATCTTTTTTTTTTGTTTATTTTCTTCCATTATTTTAATGTAAGATTAATTATTTCAAAATTTTACTATTGTAGATATATTTAATTGTATTGTATACAAAATAGAAGAGTTTGTATAATGTTTAAGACTAGATTATTTAGTAAGTCAAAATCTGTAAAAAGGGCATGTTTGGCAGTTTCATGTAAAAATAAGGTTCTGGGTATTAAGTGTATCATACTCATAAAATAAGAGGAGTCACAGCAAGGAGAAGCAGGATGAGGGAAGTAAAATTGTGGCTTGAGTTGCGTAAAACAAATGTGAAAAGAAATTAAAAGATAAAGACTTTATTTTTGGGCACTAGTGCCACATGCAATCTGTAATGCCACAACTTCTTGATGGTATTTTGCTGGATTTCTGTAATGCTTTTTCACCATACACAATATATTCTGAAGGTCGTACAAGATATTCTTAAGATGTTATATATATGAAGATATTTTAGCAAATTGAATATACTGAAGGAAATTGCATATTAAGCAAGAGTAACAAAATGTCATATATTGATAAGCGTCAATTTTCATCATGGGCCATCCTCCTAGCCTCTATCCTAATTTTCTATTTCTCTCACACTTATAGGTTTTGTTAGAATATTAGGATTCTTATATTATTGGGGCACATATTATATTAGTGATAGTATTGGACTGGACTTGTACTGGTTGTACTAAATTAGTACTTGACTTCATTGGTATGAAATATTTATTTATACATGTGCTTATAGGTTATTTGCATTAATTGGTTGGGTCTATCTTTCTTGACTGACTTGTTATAATACAAATGTAAGTCCATATTATTTCAATATATTTTTTTTGTTATATATACATTTTCTTCATCTAATTTAATTATAGTTTTTGTTATATTTATGATAATATTTTATCTTTTAGATTCCACTTTCCATCACAAAATTTGTAGCTGCTGGAGTTGGAGTAAATCTACCTATCAAACAGCTATTTAAAAGTCTTGTTCTGACAATATTAATTCCCCTTATCTTGGGAAAGGTAATTGGATCTTCTCCTTCATACATATATGGAAAGTCTTGACTCCAAAAACGTATATGGAGTTACTGCTGGATTCTTTATTTTTGAAAGGTTGTGTATATTTTATATTTTTAGGATTGGATGAATATCTTATTTTATCTTTGATACTTTCCCTACTTCCTTTTTATGTTAGCTTCCCTATTTCCCTTGATAGGATTAGCATATAAAAGAGGATCAGAGCTTGTTTTCAAAACACAAAAATATATTCAGTTATTTTTCTTACTGGTGGTTGTTTTGCTTTTTAAAGGTGGCGAATTTTGCAACTAACATGTGGTTGAGTCAAAGCCCTTGGTTGCATAATATTATGAAAATGATATTTCTTGTGACCTGCATTACTACTTTTACTCATTTTGTATTTTCAGTATACTTTCCTCGTTAAATAACCTATAGATTCTCTGTAGGAACGGGTCTTGAAGTTTATAGTAGGTGATTGGTTGTGACGAGTCAATGGTTGCTACTTTAAAGTTCTACAAGTCAGCAATTTCACAGGCTCCCTTTTCAAAAAGATTTTTCAAAATACCCTACTTTTTCTGATTTTTTCTTGATTGCTGATTCAGATTTTGGTATTTTCATCTTGATTAATTGATTGTATTAATTTTGAAGCATCATTTAATTTCTTCAGCAGTTGCACACCCTAGTGACAGTATAATATATTTGTTTTCGCGTCTGCTATATGTTGAATTTGAATTTGGTCTTTGAAGCGGAATACTCAAATTCTTGTGTTACATCAGTTTGTTAAAAGTATTTTAATCTTCTTTATTGCTTTGAATGGGCAGGTTCTACGTGAATCTTTTAAAGGTGTGTCCTATTGTTTATGCTTAGTTCAAGTAGCTTGTTTGTCACATGTTTTGACGGATAAAATAACGATTGTCATCATTACATTAAATAATAGCTGACAATGAAATGAAATTGTAATGCAGTGTTTCTTTGGAAGTCATAGTTGCAAAGTGGTATCTAATTGTTATAGTGTGAATAATTTCTTATTGGATTATTTACTTGCATTTCATTTATAATCGTCTTACACATTTGACCATTACTTTATGTCAAGCAAAGGGTGGTCAACTTAATATTTGACCATTACTCTCTTCCGGAATATAAATTTGTTGTTTAATTTGTGAATGGGTATCGGTGTAGTCCCCTCATTTCTTTGTTTCTTTTTCTTTTAGTGGAATATATTACGTGAGTGCTGAGCATATGATTGTTGGTGTTAGTGTGCCAACCTAGTTGGCATACCTTCTTCCACAAGTGATGCTTAATACTCATGATTTTATTGAAAAAAAAAAAACTTTATATTTTCAAAATGTTGTTTTACAGAAATCCTCAAGAAGAAGAAAAAAATAAATCAAAGTAGCAAGCAGAAATGGCCAATTCTTCAACACGTTTTATGCTAAATTAAATATTATGGCTATAGAAACTTCCTGAAAAATGAGAGTGATTGAGAAGAAGTTTCAGGAGATACTTTTGTGTATTTTTTTAGTGTTTTTCATTCAGCATTTTGATATCTTATATATACACAACTAAATACGGCTTGTATATACTAGAATCATGTAGGATTGAATTATCTTCTAAAATCATAATTTCCCAATGTTTCATAAGTACCTATTGTTTCCAAAGTTTTAATAACTACCCTTGTCATTTCCAACACTCCACCTCAAGCATAGAGAATCTTAAGTACCAACCTTGTTAAAAATAGACTGAATGTGGAGGCTGGGAGACTTTGTTAAGATATATGATGGTTTATCATTGAAGCTAGCATATTCAATGATAATTTCTCTGCAAATAATTTTTTCTTGGATAAAATTACAATATGTTTATATGTATGATAGGACTTGGGTATTATGGAGTGGGTAAGTCTCACATCAAGTAGTATGGGATGCTCGGTAAAGTATTTAAGTGTTTGATTCTCTCCCTTAATAGCTAGCTTTTGAGGGTGGGTTCCTAGTACCTGGCCTCTTATAAATTGATGCCAAAGTTGGTTGGTGATTTCTTGGAAAGGGTTACCTATGGAGGGTTCTAACTAATGAATGGTTCTGACAAAAAAAAAAAATGATGAGTCAAGTGTTACCGAGTGAAGCGTTGGAGAGTGAAAAGGTGTTTAGATGTCAACTTAGGGGTGTTGTTAGCTATGATAGGGGACTTGAGATAGGACGGATGACGGATCCAGAAATAGTTTAAACGGGAAAAAAAAATGTAAACTTTGATAATAATAAGGTAAACTTTGATAATAATATTCAAACGGTAGAATGACACACTAGTTTAGTACGTGTTTGGAAACACATTGAAATCCTTATGTAGGTAGGTCCAACCTGTATGTGTTTGGAAACATATTGAAACCCTTATGTAGGTAGGTCTAACGCAGAAGTTACAACTTCATCGTTCAAGTAAACGTGGATCTATAGCCTTCAAACGTGAAACTAAACACACCTGCAGAAGAATGGTTAGAACTTGGAAATGAAAAGTAAAAAATATAGAATTACTCAATTCTGTTAGCTTGCAAGTTACGATAGAAGGCAAAGTGTTAATTTCTTAAATAAATTTCTTTAACTTTTTCATTTATAATATTATATAATATAATAATTTTATTATATTATAATATATAAACTGACACACCAGAACTTTCAGGTAGATCCTGAGACTTTTTTTCTTTTTTTACTATGTCTAATATAAATTTTTTTATAATATATATATAAATAAATAAATTTTCAAAGAGGGAAAGGCCGGGACCCATGCTCGCCCCCCTTTGTATCCGTCCCTGACTTGAGAGTATTATGTGGTGCTTGTTTGTTCTAGATTTAAGGGAGAGTATTATGTGGTGCTTGTTTGTTCTAGATTTAAGGGAAATGTTCTTCTCAATTTTCATACTCTCTCCTTTTTTCTCACTATAACATTGTCATTTATAAAGATTTTTTTTATTATTAAATCTACCTTACAGGTGTGGCTGACTTTGTTGACAAAAACCGCAAGCTTTTCTCAGTGATCAGTGCACTTTTCCTTAGCCTTGTAAGAACAATTCCTTTGGGGTGTTTCCTTATTTCCTTTCTCCAAGTTGGTGTTTTCCTCGTAGCAAGTTGATTGAAAGATTGCTTAAGTTTTGTTTTGTCCTTTTAACACGTTCAGAATCTTAAGTTATAAGAAATGGATGAGATGCATTATGTTGTTTCTTTTACTTGTTTGTATTGTTGGACCCGACCAGTGGCACATTTCATGCACTGAAATCAGCTCATTAAATTTATATCCTTTTTCAAAGGCAAGCCATACAAAATATAAATAACTAGATGAATAACCATCGGTTTCTGGACAAGTAATTATTGTTCCTGGCTTCACATGAGTTTTCATGACTCCTTTGATAACTTGTTACATTTGTTGTGATGCATACATACTCTGGGTTTTGATTAATGGCTTAGTAGTCCTTCTGGTCGTATTGTCCCCTTGTCCCTGTGAATAAGAATAGTTTACCAGGAAAAACTTTGTTTTTGTGCTTGCCATTGAATCCATATAAATTCAAGGGACCTATTTTGTGCATTCAGGGCCAGAAAAATCACCGTGCTGACCAATAATTACATTATGTTTGTGAAATCTAATACCTGTAAGGAAACACCTTTGATCTAAACAAAAATATTTCCATTTCTTCATCCATGTGCCATATTCTTTCTTCATTACATTTCATTTTGACATGAATGCCCATATTTGGGCAGTTATCCCACCACACAAATAAGCTATGGTCTTAAAAAAAAATTCTGGAATTAATTCCTTTGCTTATTTGAGATGTTATGCTTGTTATTTATTCATCAAGGTATTACAAGCAGATTATAGTAAAACAAAATATTGTCATACAGGTACCTTGGATACAAGTAAGTAGGTCAAGGCCCCTGCTGTTAATGGTGAAGCCCAATGTTTTTCTGGTAGCTATTGGACTGGGAACGTATGTATGGCACACGAGTTAGTTTACATTTGTTTGTTATCATGACATAATTGGAATCTTTTATCGGTAGTTTTCTCCTTACTAGTTGTTTGTTTTGGTACTATAAATATATAGTCAAATTTTAACATTTATTTTGTATTTCCTTCTACAATGAAAAGTTAAAAAAGATAGTTCTTACGTCAAGAATTTGTAGATATTTAATGTTGTATCCCTGTGTGATAGGTTTTTTAGCATTTACATACAGCACTTTATTCTGATTGCCCATATATCTTTGACTCTGTTTTTAACTGAGTATCTCATGGATAACACCAGATCCATTGAATTGGAAAATGCATGTTTGTCATTAGAAAATTATGTCATCGGTATAATGGTTTTACCTTTTAGACAATCATATATAGGCACAAATCACATATTGACAACCTTTATTTACTCATGGATTAGAGTCTTCTTCTGGCCAAATGAAGTCTTGTTTAACATGGAGACATCTTCTGTCACTCTTCGCATGAGCACTGGTCTGCATTTAATAGGATTGTTCACTATTAGTTGATTCTTGTAAAGGGCTATCAGCTTCAATGGCATTACGGTAACTAAAATTGCCCTTCATGATACCTTGCAGACTTCTTCATCTGTCTTTATTGGTATTCAATGTCATTGCTGTTCGGAGTCTTTCAGTTATCTCTGGTGGTAGAAAATCAATTTTTTCTCGACAAGAAAATGCCAGTGCACTCGTACTTGTTGCAAGCCAGGTAATAACTCAATCACTTTTACTTTCTCACATCTCATATGAAATGAGTATCAACTTGGAGGCGCTTTCTAACAAACTTGCTGTCAAATATTTATCCTTTTTGTTGGTACATTAATGAGTCTCACATTGTTTAAGAGTCAAGGTCAAGGGTAGTTTATATACACATTTCTCTTTTAACTTACCGATGTAATTTTTAAGGACAAAACCATAACGGACGTGAGCTCCAAAACAGACAATACATCGGACATAAGAATTGATTCTAAAGATGTCTTATAGCGGACATGAAATTTGGATACTCTTGTTCCTAAACGGAACACTGACGTTATTTATTTATTTATTTTAAGAGATTCATTTATAATAAATAAAAAATAATCAATAATATCTAACAAGATAATTAAATAAGTAAAGTTGTTTTTGGGTTGGGTAGGTACACTTTTAATTATTTCCAAACAAGTTTTCATTCCTTTCAGAAAACATTACCAGTAATGGTGGCAGTGATAGAGCCACTTCAAGGTGCATTTGGAGAATCCGGGTTACTGGTTCTTCCTTGTGTTGCAGCACACCTGAACCAGGTCATTTAATTTTTTTTTATCTTTTTACCACTTTCCAATATTTCTTCCTCATGCATGCTAACCTCTAACTCCTTGTAGATTATTGTTGACTCTTTAATCGTTAACTTCTTGCGTTCCCAAGACAATTCCAACAATGTCAAGGTGGCTTAAACAGAGTAAATGGTGGTCATCGATGGTTGTGGCATATGAAGCATATCAAGCTCCATCTCAGGAAATACTGAGATAAAGGATGTTTAAAAATTTGTTTGGTTTCATTTCCCATTGTACAACTTACCAAAATATATTTTGGTCATGTTCAGTCTGGAAGTTGTTGTTTGATGATCATAGATTTTATTTTTTATTGATGTGGGGGTTGTGTACGAGGTTTTCGATATTTATATTGTACCATTGTTAATTCTTTAGATTAAATAGTTATGTCGTACACTGTAAATGGTAGGCATTTCATATTCACTTGCTATTATTAAGGATTTTTTTAACTTTGGTCTGTTTCACTTGCAATTAAGGGTTTAAAAAAACATTGGTGTGTAGTAACCTATAACAACAGGATTAATTCTAGGTTCTGCATCCTATAATGCATCCTATCATTTCTCCCAGCATCTTGGTATCACAAGTTAAATACTAATAAATACTTTTTTATATTTTTGTTTGTTAGTCTAACTTCTTCTATTTGCATACAATTTATGAATTTTCATCCTTTAATTTTTATTTTTTTTGCACTATCATTCTTATTCTTATCGAAGGTCTTTTCTAACCATTAAAATTAAGTAATAGTTAATTTTATGTATTAATTATATGTTTCTGTATTTAAATTATATAAACAAATTCAAAGCTCAATCTACACAAAAGAGGTTGAATTCTGAAACACTTAATTTGGATTACATTTCCAAAAATCTAAAAGTGTATTATGATCCACTAATTTAGAATATATTTTTGAAAAATTAATTTTTGAATTATATTTTGTAAAACACTTTTTGAACATATTTTTCAAAAATATTTACCAATTTTTTCACTCCCTGTAATCTGTTTCCAGCCAAAAAAAATTTTAAAAATTTGTCATTGAACAAAATAAAAAATAAACACACTGATAGTTGTTAAAGATGAAAATAAGTAGAAGAGTAAAATGAAGTTTAATTTAATTACAGGGTTTTAAGGAAAAATTATGATGATGTACGGAACAACAATTTTGAGGATGTATTAAGGAACAACCTTACTCTTAATGGTTGTAATATATGATTCACCCACCCTAGTTTTATCTTATTTTATTTAATCAAATCAAGGATTTCTCAATAAATTGTAATATATGATCCATCCACCCTAATTTTATCTTATTTTATTTAATCAAATCAAGGATTTCTCAATAAATTGGTATAAATGATCATTTTAATTTACAAAAATTAATTTCCATGACAATCTATTTAAATATGTAAATATAAAAAAAAAAACAGACAGTTAAAAAAGTAAGAATAAAAAAAAAAGACAAATTAATTTCTCACCTAACATATTAAGTGACCAACCAATAATAGACAGTTGAGGGTCAAGATTGACCAAATAAATATGAGAAATAATATCAAAATCGATTTTAAAAAAGAGAAATAGATTAGGTAGGGTAATTTTCATTTACTTAAGTTAAATCAGAGTATAAATGAACTTAGATCATATTAATTTATAAATTAATTTATTTTATAAAATAATAATATTTTTTTAAATAAAAAAAATATTTTATTAAAAAGATATATTTATATTATAAATTAATTTAATAAAAAATATATATTTATTTTAAAAATAAATATAAAAATAAGTCTTTATATTTATTTATTTCAAATTTAATAATTAAAATAAATTATTATTTTAGATTATTATATTATTAAAAATTAAATAATAATATTGAAAAAACATTTTAAATTTTTATAATTTATATATTAAATTATTATATCTTAAAATAAAAATAAATTTTATCAATATAACTTAAATTTTTAAAAATATTTTTTAATTAATTATTTTGATATATATAAATTATTTTTTTTAATTTTCAATTATATCAAAATAACCTATTAATTTAAAATAAAAATTATAATTTATTTTAAAATATAAATCAAAATAAATTATCAGTTACCGTTACACCAAACTACACCCATTTTCAAAATTCTTGTCATAACATTGAGTGTCCAAGAAGAAGCATATAATAAGACATGGAAATGTCACCATAAAAACAACGAGTAAACGCTCTCTCTCACTTTTGATTGGTGCACTAAAAAATGTTGATAAAAATTGCAGCAATTTTCTTGGTAGGGCTTCTGGCCTTGGCATATCAGGCCATTCAGCCTCCACCCCCAAGAACATGCGGTTCACCACATGGTCCACCCGTCACAGCACCAAGGATTAAGCTCAGAGATGGAAGGCACTTAGCCTACAAGGAACATGGGGTGCCTCGAGAACTCGCCAAGAACAAGATTGTCTTCTTACATGGCTTTGGTAGCTGCAGACATGATGCTGTAATTGCAACAAACCTCCCCAAAGTATGTATCTATGTTTGTTTCTTAATTTAGTCAAATCTTTATAATCTTGATTTTGTTAGAAGCATCACATTGATTAGGCATAATAGTCAAATACATATCTAACTGAAAATCAGTTTTTTTTTTTAAAGATTTAAGTTTAGATTTCATTGATATCAGAATCTATTGTAAATTTGTGAAAAAGGGTCACTCTCCATGTTATCTTTTAAAGTGAAGTAGACATGAAACTAGTACTTGCTTCTGTGTTACTTTGGTTTATTCTTAGGTTTTATTTTTGGTGGGTTTGAATGATTAGGGGCTTCTTGAGGAACTTGGAGTATACATTGTGTCTTTTGATAGACCAGGGTATGGAGAAAGTGACCCTGATCCTAATCGAACGGTAAAAAGTTTGGCACTTGATGTTGAAGAGCTTGCAGACAAGTTGGAACTGGGAGCCAAGTTCTATGTCATGGGATTTTCTATGGGAGGACAAGCTGTGTGGGGTTGCCTCAAGTACATTCCTCATAGGTAAGTAAGATAACACTTGTTGGATCCATCTTTATTTGCACTTAGGTGTAGAAATCTAATAGAAGTGAAGATGAATAAATGAGTGAGGATGGAGAATAATTCAAATTATTAATCTTAGCTTCTTTGTTTTTTATTGTTTGGTCATGAATTGAATGGTTCTGAATGTTGGTGGTGGTGAACACAGACTTGCAGGGGCAACACTGATGACACCGGTGATAAATTATTGGTGGCATAACCTTCCTTCCAACATGACAACAAAGGCCTACTATGACCAACCCACACAAGACCAATGGGCTCTGCGAGTTGCTCACTACTTTCCATGGCTAACATACTGGTGGTTTACTCAGAACTGGTTTCCTTCATCAAGTGTTGTTCAACGCAACCCTGCTATTTTCTCCCATCAAGATTTATCAATCCTCTCCAAACTCCGTAGACCATATCAGGTACTACTACTGTTTAAAAATTCAACTTAGATCCAACACAATATACAAAACTAATTTCCAACTTAAATATTGAACTTGTTATAAGGCGTTTTAGGTCTTCTCCCTCTCCTTTATAATCAAATTTTTTCTTAGGTTTGATTTCTTTTTTCGCGTCTTGATAATATCTTATTCTCCGTACTATCTATGCATCGAGCCCATTAAGTATCAAGTCCATCTCTTCCAAATGGGTTTATCTTGACCCACTTTACTCGTTCAGTTGAATCCGAACCCAACCAGACTATACACGTACCAGAACTCAATACTAGTTTATATACGGTCTTCTCTTATGATTAGATATCGAAGTCATTACTAATCTATGTATACTCTCTTCTCTGATATTGTAAAGATAAGATTGAGTTAAAGGCACGTTTGAGCTTAATTTTCTTTATGCTACATGATATTTAAAACCTTTTTATTGGTTTGATGCTTTATTTTAAGATATTTATTCATAATACCATGATTATATATCAGTAAAACCCTGAACTCATGTTATTGGTTACTGAACTCGATGCAGTCACAGGTGCAGCAACAAGGTGAAGCTGAATCCATTTGTCGGGAGGCCAGAATTGGGTTTGGAAGGTGGGATTTTGATCCCCTTGATATTGATAACCCTTTTCCAGATAATACAGGGCATGTTCATCTATGGCAAGGTGATGACGATAAGATTATCCCTGTCATGCTGCAGCGCTACATTGCCCAAAACATTCCTTGGATTCAATACCATGAAGTGCCTGGTTCTGGACACTTATTTCCACACATTGAGGAAATCACTGCCACTATCATCAAAACACAATTAGTCCATTGAAAATGTGGTTCATTTTGGCATACCCACTCTTTCATAGTCCTGTAATCTTCTCATCGTTTTGTGACTTGCTAATTTTTTCAGCATTGAATGTGATGGACTTTTTCCTTTGTTAGATCATTTAGTTCTTATTAGACCATGGATTTTAAACAAGCTTCTTTTTAAAAGATTTTTAGTATAAAAAATTATGAAAATATGAAACTATTTATTTATATGTTTAATAATGTTCTAGCAAAAAATTAGGTGAGATTAAGAACATTTAACAACATCAATAGTTGTAAGATTAGGTGGACAATCCATATAATTAATGTAAATTTACTTCGGACAATCTCCAACAATATTTACCTACTTTCCTAATTAATTTTAAAAAATTAAAAATTAATTTAAATTATTTTTATTAAAATTTTTAAAATTGATTAAGTTAATTTTTTGGTTTTACAATTAGAAATTAATTCAAATTAGATGGAAACTAATATATATTATTAAAACTAAAATAATAAATCTTATTTATAATAAGTAAATTAATTATTTTTTTTAATTCAAGACATGTATTTTTATTATTATTTAAATTAAATATAAAAATAAATTAAAATTATAAATATCATATCATTTTACAATATATTTTTTATTTAATAATTATTTTATTATAATAAATTTGATAATTTTGTTTTGTTATAATTTTTTGAAAATTAAAATTAAATCAATCAAACTATATTTAAACCCTATTGTCCACGAATAAATCAACTTGACTTAATTACATGGAATTTTTTTTTATAACAACACATTAAATGCGTGGTTTCGAGTTTCTTAATGATAAAAAAGTTATATAATAAAATTAATGAATTTTATATATGTTTACTCAATATTGTAGTAATTCTGTAGTGTTACATGATGAAATATTAAAATTATGATTAGATTTTATATAAGTTTTTAGTTTAAGAGAAAAAAATTAATATAAAAAACACATTTTCAAATGATTAATTTAATATAAAAAATAATTATTTAAGTGTGATATATATAAAAATATTGAAAGAATATAATTATTAAAAATAAACATATTATACTTAGATTTTATAGAGCATTTAAAAAATGTTGAATGATTATATTTTTTAATATATTATAAATATTGAAATTTTTTCTCTAAAGGTAAAAATAATAAAATTGTTAAGTATTAGAACTAATAATTATAATTATAAAATTATATGTAATATAAATAATTATTACACTATTATCCTTTCTTGGTAATTTACTCTATAAATTCTAGTTTTACTACAAATATTAATTTTTTCTAATTATATTTGTAAAGAATAATTAGTGATACAATATATATATATATATATATATATATTTTTTTTTTTTTTTAAATAAAAGAAATTTCTTCAAATTAATTAAACACTGTCCTAACGATCGAAGTTTGGACAGGAGGTTTTTTACCGCCTTTTTCCACTCTCAGTTTCATTTCAAATTTGTGTGAGCAGAGATCAGAGAAACCCTTCTCTCTTTCTCTCTCTCTCTCTCTCTCTCCATGGCTCCTCACTTCATCTTCCCTCGCAGACTCGAAGACCTGGAAAACGAGGGACAAGAAGAAGATAACAGGCTCTGCGTTCACAATCCTGTCGATGTTGCTTCCTTCGTTTCCTCCAAACTCGAAGAGTTTGTCAAAGGTAAACCAATCACGTTCTTCCCATTCTTCTCAATCAATCTCAATTTACATCGTTTTCTTTCAGGTGTGACGTTTGATCTCTCCGACAAGGAGATCCTCTGCATCGAGGAGCAGGACTTGTTCGACCGAGTCTACTCCTTGGTTCGTGCCTTCCCCATTCTCTCCCCTTCCTCTAAACTCAGCTTCCTCGAAACTCTCCGCTCTAACCTCGCCGTCCTCCTCCCCAATGTCGATTCCGTCTCCAGAGCCTCGCACGACCACGTCCCCCTTGCTTCTCATCGCAACGCTTTCAAAATATACTCCTTCTTCCTCCTCAGCATCCTTCTCGCTCTACACTCCAACACCTCCAACAATACCTCCAAGGTTCGTTCCCTCTCACGTTTCAAATGCTCCAATTATTGGTTTCGCAACAAGATAAACTAATGAATTAGTCCTTCTGAGAAATTTCTCAATCACGGAGATGACATTTCTTTTCTTTAAATTTAATCTCTCTTTCAGATGTAAGGTTTTTCAAACAACTAAGGGGTTAATCCATGTAATGAATGAGAAGTGTTGATGTAATGGTTTTTAAACAATTAAGGGAGTTAGGGTAGGAATAGAGAAATAAAGGTGTCAGTCTTCCTGAGTTGAAATCGTAATAAGAAAGTTGAGATTGATGAGTGAGAGATTTATAGATATAATGCTTTAAGATTGAGTTGAAGGTGGTATTATATTATTTTATTCTATTAACTCAGTTACATTCATAAATATCTTCCATGTTGTCGTCTCGAAAATATACTGGAATTGTGTACAATAAGGATGTTAGAGTAATTTAGTCTTAAATATATATTTCATGGCTCAAGGTATGCATCCTTTCATCTTTAGGGACAATCTTGTATCTATGAAGGAATAGAGGATGTTTATCCCATAAGCATTTCTAGAAGAGAAAAATAAGAAAAAGAAGATGAAATGTACTCCTGTATAAACTTAAATTAGCTAATAAAAAGCTAAAAAATAAAGATTTTAAGAAATGTTATGAATTAACTTCTACAAATTAGCTTGCACAAAATCTAATTTTAAAAATTTATTAAGTTTATTCTTCTTTGTTTGTTTTCTCTAAAAAAAATGCTTTTTGGAGAAACTTTTCCAAACATGCCCTAATTTGATTTTTGCCCAAGTCTGCTGTATTGCTGTATCTGGTTTCAGGTTGTGGCTCCAAGTGCTAGGAAGAAACAAGCTGTGAATTCATGGAATTGGGAGGCACAGAGAGCTCGGATACTCAACCTCATTGCCAACTCTTTGGAGATAAACCTTGAATTGCTTTTCGGTTCGCCGAACCTGGATGAAAACTACTTGTCTTTCATCACAAAGTGAGTAGTTTGGGTATCTTTCTCAGTTTGCTAACCGTTGGGAATGTACACCCTCTTGCTTTCTGGCAATTATATTCTCAAATCCATCAAAATACTTTTTAAAATCAAGTGGGTGTTGTTAATGTAAGCTGACCATATTCTTAGAAGCAGTATTTTGGTAAGCTTTCTGATCTGACACTCCCTTGTGTAGAAATGCTTTCTCTTTGTTTGAGGACGCGTCACTCTTAAAAGATTCCGATGTGAAAGAGGCCCTGTGCCGTATTATTGGAGCCTGCTCTACTAAGTACCATTACACTGCACAGTCGTGTGCATCCATCGTGCACCTGGTTCACAAGTATGATTTTGTGGTCACGCACATGGCTGATGCAGTTGCTGCTGCTGAAAAGAAGTATGCAGATGGAAGCCTTGCCATGTCCCTTGTTAGGGAAATTGGAAGGACTAATCCTAAAGATTACGTGAAAGACACAGCTGGGGCTGAAAATGTGGGTCGTTTCCTTGTCGAGCTTGCTGACCGCATACCAAAATTGATTTCAACTAACATTGGCATTCTTGTCCCTCACTTTGGTGGAGAGTCCTATAAAATACGAAACGCACTTGTTGCAGTGCTGGGGAAGCTAATAGCCAAGGCATTTAAAGATGTTAATGTTGGCGAAGCAAGTTCTAAGTCCATTCGATTACGTACCAAGCAAGCTATGTTGGACATCTTACTTGAGCGGTGTAGAGATGTCTCTGCTTACACCAGAAGTCGAGTTCTTCAGGTGTGGGCTGAGTTATGTGAGGAGCACTCTATTTCAATTGGCCTGTGGAATGAGGTTGCAGAAGTTGCTGCTGGAAGGTTGGAGGACAAGAGTGCAATGGTCAGAAAATCTGCTTTGAATCTGTTGATCATGATGCTGCAGCACAACCCTTTTGGTCCTCAGCTTCGAATAGCCTCGTTTGAAGCAACCTTAGATCAGTACAAAATGAAGTTAAAAGAGCTTGAGCCTTATGAAGGAGAAGAACCCTCCTCTGATAATGATAATTTTAATGGCGATGGAGAAGTGTTTGATTTAAATTGTGAAACTGTTGTGAAGGGTACGCAACAAGACAGTTTAACTGATAGTTGCTTGTCCCAGTCAGAAGATGCAATCCCTTTGCAGAACAGTAGTGTTCCGGATGTTGGGAACTTGGAACAAACTAGGGCATTGATTGCATCACTTGAGGCTGGATTGCGGTTCTCTAAATGCATAGGAGCCACAATGCCAACACTTGTCCAATTGATGGCTTCATCTTCTGCCACTGACGTTGAGAACACAATTCTCTTATTGATGAGATGCAAACAGTTTCAGATTGATAGCTCCGAGGAATGTCTCCGAAAGATGTTACCACTTGTAAGCTCTTGTTTTTTTAATTGTGAAATGTTTGGTGTTGCAATGACAGTTGCATTGTGGTTGTTGAAATAGGGGTAAATCATAGGGATATTTGATTGCAACTTCTGTTGAGGATAACAGTTTAAAATCTTGTGAAATGAGGATAGGGGGAAATCATAGGGATATGTGATTGCAACTTCTGTTGCAGATCACAGTTTAAAATCTTGTGAAATAAGGATAGTTTTATTAGATTATTTCTTCAATGTGTTATAGGCTATGTACTTTTATGCAACCTTGATTTTTCTAAATTAATCCTTTATTTCTGTCATCTGCTTCATTTGTAGGTGTTTTCTCAAGATAAATCCATCTACGAAGCAGTGGAGAGTGCTTTCCAAACAATATACATCAGGAAAAGTCCGATCGAAACTGCCAATAATCTTTTGAGTCTTGCCAATGATTCCAATATAGGAGATCTAGCCGCCCTTGAGTTTATAGTTGGCGCCCTAGTCTCTAAGGGTGATATATCTTCCAGCACGGTATGTTTTCATGTACCTTCTTCAGTAGTACGTTGTTACATAAACTATTTGAATGCCTCCAGATAAGACTTACGGACGATGCATTATTCACCAAATATGAAAAACTTGACGAAAACTAGTTTTACACCACTGTTAAATAAGTATAAATATGTTTTACAGTGACGTAAGTGGGTTTCAGATTGTTGACGCTAACAGTGAGTTATGATCTCCTGAATCAATATTGTAGTTTCCTTCTATTTCTCTCATCAAAAGAAATTATTGTTGCCAGTATACCAAATTTAGTTCTCACTATTGATTGATTTCTTTATAACATCATTGCTACTGTAGATATCAGCATTATGGGATTTCTTTTGCTTCAATATTGGTGGAACAACTGCAGAGCAGAGTCGTAGTGCTTTATCAGTCCTTTGCATGGTTGCAAAGACGTCAACCGGTGTGCTTGGCTCACATTTACAGGACATAATTGATATTGGATTTGGTCGTTGGTCCAAAGTTGATCCTTTGCTAGCAAGGACAGCTTGTGTTGCTATCCAGAGATTGTCCGAAGAAGACAAGAAAAAACTGTTGGCTGGTAGTAGTGCTCGAATATTTGGTATTTTAGAAAGTTTAATCACTGGTTTTTGGCTTCCCGCAAATATTTGGTTTGCTGCTGCTGACAAAGCCATAGCTGCTGTCTATGCCATTCACCCTACCCCAGAAACCATAGCAGTTGACATGATAAAGAAATCTCTCAGTTCTGTCTGTAATGATGGGGGTGTTAATGAGCAGAGTGACATTGACACAAGTAGTGGCAGTATTCCTCTCACAGTTCAAGTAGCAAAGCTTAGCAGATGTTTATTTATAGTAAGTCATATTGCCATGAATCAACTGGTATATATTGAATCCTGTGCCCGTAAAATTCAGAAGCAGAAACTTACAAAAGAGAAAAAGGACAGTGAGAATCAGAACCTAGACAGTAATGGCACAGTATCAACTGCTACACAGAAGGTGCAATGTTTCTTACGGTTTTGTCATCTTCGATAGCTTCAACAATCAGTTGTGAGCAACACTCTTGATCTTTTTCTGTCTACTCAATTAAGTTTGGCTTGTTAATCTGTTGCAGGATAATAATATAAATGCAGAGTTAGGATTTACTGCCTCGGAGGATGCAGCACTTGATGCTCTTTTTGATAAGGCAGAAAAGGAAATAATATCTGGTGGTTCAAATGAAAAGAATTTGATTGGTGTCTGCGCAACATTTGTGTCAAAGCTTTGTAGAAATTTTGGACTAATGCAGAAGGTGATTGCCTTAATTTCCTACTAGAGACTTTGCATTCTTCTATTCATTATTTGGTAGTTTTTTTTTTTTTTTTTTTTTTATTCTAATAAGTTAATCTCGACCCTTGAATAAATTTTTAAGCATTATAAAGCAGACGCGTTGCTGACAATTTCCATTTATTCAGTATCCAGAATTACAGGCGTCTGCAATGCTAGCTTTGTGTCGATTGATGATTATTGATGCAGATTTTTGGTGAGTTCCTTGTCAAATCTTTACCTACTTTCTCTCATTGTTATTCCTGCTTATTTATGGAATGAAAATAAAGGGAATTGTTTTCAGTGATGCAAATCTCCAACTCCTTTTCACTGTTGTGGAAAGCGCGCATTCTGAAACTGTCCGTTCGAATTGCACAATTGCTTTGGGAGATTTAGCGGTACGGTTTCCCAATCTTTTAGAACCATGGACAGAAAACATGTATGCCCGCCTAAAGGACCCCTGTGCATCTGTTAGGAAGAATGCTGTATTGGTGCTTTCACATCTCATACTAAATGACATGATGAAGGTAGAAGTCACGGAAGTTATTTATTCTTTCAATTTGTGCAGTGATGTAGACACTGATGCAATAAATTTTTTTATCAGGTGAAAGGGTACATTAATGAAATGGCCGTAAGATTAGAAGATGAAGATGAGAGGATTTCAAACCTTGCTAAGCTATTTTTTCTTGAACTTTCCAAGAAAGGTTTTTACTTGTATTATGCTTTTGTATTCTGTAGAAGAGTATCTACTGTTGTTTTCGATATTTTACATTGTTAAGGGTAAAAAGTTGTCTGATATAGTTTTCGGATTATTACAGGAAACAATCCAATATATAACTTACTTCCGGATATACTAAGCAAATTATCCCAGCAAAATCTGAGCAAAGATTCTTTCTGCAACATCATGCAATTTTTAATTGCTTCCATCAAGAAGGTACATGTCATCAGAATGCTGAAATTTTCTATATTTATTCTGAATGTTATCCTCACTGCATTTTCATTAATTACTCCAGGATAGACAAATGGAAGCTTTGGTGGAAAAGCTATGTCATCGGTTTAGTGGTGTTACAGGTATATATTCTTTATCCTTTGAAATTTTTAAATACTGAATATAACCAGTTCTGCCAAATTACTAAACAGTTTCACAAGTTATGCCTAAAATTGTCTAAATTAGTTTTCCTTGAGGGTATATTATTTTAATAAATAGATTATTTTAATTTTCCTCAAAACCACTTTCTTTGGTCAGCTTGAAATTCTGATAAAGCCTGGTAGTTTGTCTGTGCTTGTATGTGATTACCGCGCAACTTTTACGGTATGTGTGTGGTTAGTAGTAAAAATCACGTTGAAATGAACTGAATACACAGAAACAGCAAATGCTAGCTTCTCTGCAAGGGCATGCAATTTGACGCGATGGGATATCAAACTCCACTAAGATTGTGCATATCTTATAAAGAATAAGGCGATTCAGACTATTCTGATTTCTAATTTTATTTAGGATATGCTAAACAATTCCTGACACACTTGATCAGTCAATGAGTTTAAACATGAGTTTTTTTAACTACCCTTTCAATTTTATTCTTGTAATTGTGAAGGGTTTTGAAATAAATTACAACAAGAGAAGTTAATTGTTGTAGTCTATTGGTGATAGTGATCGTGACTTTATTTCTCTGCAGATGTCCTACAATGGGAATATATATCGTATTGTCTATCTCAGTTATCTTTTACTGAAAAAGGGATGAAAAAACTCATAGAGTTATTTAAGTCATATGAGCATGTCTTGTCTGAGGATTCTGTGATGGACCATTTCAGGAACATACTAAACAAGGTAAATGTTTTTTTGCTCATGCTGTCATGCATACTTTCTGCAAAAATAGCCGAGGCTTTTTCTGATATAATTTAATTGATATCAGGGAAAGAAGTTTGCGAAGCTTGAACTTAAAGCTTGCATTGAAGAGTTTGAGGATAAGCTGAATAAGTTTCACGCGGATAGAAAGGAACAGGAAGTTACAGCTCGAAATGCCCAAATTCATCAACAAAAGATTGACAGCATGGAAGGATTTACTGTGGCTACAAATTCTGATGATCACTCACAGTCTAATTCTGCTTCAGGTTAACTTTTAAACTTAAGAATGTCCTGGTGTTCTACTTTCTGCTGTTTTCCTAATGACGTTATATATTTGTAGCTGTATAGTAATGAACTAATCAATCCCTTGAATGCTTTACATCGTTAAAATCTTGTCCTACTCCTACTCTGACATGATTGTTCTTTACAAAATGAGGGGAGGAACGAAGTTTTAAGAATATATTACAAATGTCAATCCCCTATATGTTTTTACTGGATAAACAATTGCCTGCTCTGGAAAAATTCTGATGTTTAGGAATTTTATTTCATGTCACCTAGCTTTTTGGTTTGGATGAGTTTCACGTCAATATTTTGGTTATGATTTTTTTTAATCATAATTTTTGTGCCAGATGAAACAGAAGGGGAAGTAATTGATGGTTGCGCGGAAGAGGCAACGTTGCCATCAAATGGGAAATCAGAATCTAAACTTGTGTCAGGTGATCTTTCTGGAACTTCTGCGTCGGATCAAGGGGATATTGAAATCCAATCAACCGAGGTTAAGATGAGAGGTTAGTTTAAACACAGCTTTTGCTAGTCACCATGATTCTTTTGTTATTGTTATAATTAACAAGAGGTTGCTGATTATAGGAGTTCATCGGTCCAAAACTAATAAAAGCAATGTTAAACATGAAAAGGGTGATAATATCTCTGTCACCAAAAGAAATACTCGGTCAAGGAGGTATGCCTTATTCTTCTTTAGCTTGTATTTGCGTGATAAGATCCTGCTAACATTTTGATTTTGCACGTTGTCCACGTCCTGTAAACGGATTGAATTGGTTGCTGACTCAGGACAGCATGAAGTGAAAATTTTGAAAACGCTGTAGTTTAATATTATGCTCATTTGTTTGCTAATTTAGCTTTTAAAACCAAATAAATCTTTGTGTGAACCTATTGTTGATTATTTAGTATAATTATGTAAATGGTTGCAGTGCTGATAGGCTGAGGTGCGAATATCACCTGTATGCTAATTGGCTGTCTTTGACATCTATTTATTGATCTACCTATTTATAATAGAACTTCATTAAAATGTCAGTGAAAAGGTTTTTGCACGGGATCTAATTTGGGTGGTTTTGCATTGTAAAATTATTTACTTCAGTTGATATGGTAAAAATCATAACATTAATTGTGCATCAAAATTTAAAACTCTTACTATATATGAAGTCTGAAACACAAATGCGATATTGACATCTGGCCTTGTCAACTTATTTTAGCTTGACTGACTCAAAAGTTTGAAAAAAAGCAAGACTAATGGCCAATTTACTTGAGGCCTTGTTCATCTGCCACCAAAATTAACTGAAGTTCCTCTGGCAATTCTCATACATCTGGAGCTGATGGTTTGAGTGGACTCTAACTTTGCCCGTAAATTTAATGGTGGATTGACTTCTTTGGACAAATGAATGTATGTGTGAATAGCTTAGTACACAAATACTGCGAATAATATGTAATATAATAAAATTTAGAATATAATCTAACTAAATAGAATCTAAATAATTTTGGGCAAAAGCAACTTTGCAATTTGATATAAATTAAACGTTTATAGTGGTAGCGGAGGAAGGCATTAGGTAGCAAATGAAGGAATGTTTTTGCAATACTATCTAGCAGTTTTATATGATTCATATACGTTTGGAAATCTCTCAATGAATTCGTTGTTTGTTTTATGGTATCCAGATGGGTAACATAAGACTCAAATCTTGTTTATCCGTTCACTTTGTCCCTGGTTGCAGGTAGATACTGAAGCACCTTCCGTTAAGAAGATATACTTTTGAGTTTGGCGTGGGATTTGTAGCATTGACAAATTGCACAAACTTTATATGTCAATGGAATCTGGAAGACATACTGTGCAGCTGCCAATATATGACTGCATTTTCAAGGTTTGAAGGCAACTATGGTTGCAATGGGTTAGTGTTTTAATTAGCATATTGTAGAATACCCAAAAGAATGACATATTGTGTATACTGTTTTACAACATAAATTCGAAGAGTGCATCACCGGGTGTGGATAATTCAAGGGTTTTGCCTCCTAAAATATATCATTTTAGGAATGTATTGTTTGTAAAACTGCAGATTTGTAACAGATCAGTTTGCCCCAACTACTTGAAGATTATATCATAAGACAAACAAGTCCCTACTCTCACTAAGTCCTTGATAAAAAAATTAATTTTAATTCGAAATTAGTCAATGATCTTTTGACTAAATGGTCACTTTACAACAAGAATAATAAATAAAAAGCTAAAAATATTTTAATTCACTAGTTTTCTTATCATAATAAAAATCTTGACAATGAACACGTTGACTTTTTTTAACACGTTTTTAGTATAATAAGAATGCATATAGATACTCATTAATGAAAACCTTTCTATTACAAAACAAATTTTATGTATAGTATTAAATTGTTATTGTTTCATTTATAAAACCTCCTACATTTTGCTGTAAAAAAAATTAGTAAAAGCTATCACTCTTCTCCATCTGACAAAAAATTGTTGATGTCATCACATCATCTAAACTCGCACCAATTAATAAAATGTGACAGATGCACATAAATATTATATTAACCTCACTTACTTTAAAAATGAAAAGTGAGAAAATTTAAAATAAGAGAAAATAAAATTACGTAAATTAGATAATAGAATGACAATAAATAAAAATAAAATAAGTTTATTTGCTATAATTTTTTAATATTTTTCAATCACTTTTATTATGTTAATGTTATTTATTATTATTATAAATAAGGAAAAATAAGTATTAGTAAAAGGTAGATTGGTTCATTAAAATGTCTTTAATGAGGTTGATTGAGACAAAAATATTTTCTTTGATTTAAAAAAAAAAAAAAAAAACCTCGTGTGTTAACAAGGAAGGAGTCTTCACTTCATCCATTCCTCCTAGTACAATATAAAAATAAAAAAGAAGTTAATTTTTTACTCAATATAAAATTTAATTGATAACATGTGAAAAAAAAAAACCTAACAAAATAATACCACAACTAAAAAAGCTAAATTCAAACGTGTTTTGCATACCTCTGTATGATTAGAATGATTAATAGAAAAAATTCTCAATATGATGGATGGGTTGGTCTAAACAAAAAGAGAAATTTCATTTTAGCCGTATGTTTTGAGTAGAATTGACATGGTTTATTAACGCAATTTCATTGTATGAATTCCACTTCCGCCTCACTCACTCTATCTACCTACAACTCCTCTCTGAGCGCAGACATGCTGAGAACATCGCTTCTAAAGCGCACCCTCGCCCTCACTCCTCACCACTCGCATTCGCATTCGCATTCTCATTCTCACCTCCTCCGCCGATTCTCCGCCTCGCCGGAACCCGCCTCCTCAGCCGATGCAGAAACCCGCAAGTACGCCGGCTACGCGGCGTTGCTCCTCTTCTGCGGCGCCGCCACCTATTACACCTTCCCACTGCCGGACAACGCCAAACACAAGAAGGCGCAGATCTTTCAGTACGCGCCGCTGCCGGAGGACCTTCACACTGTGTCGAACTGGAGCGGGACGCACGAGGTGCAGACGCGCAACTTCCTCCAGCCGGAGAACGTGGACCAGCTGGAGCGCGTGGTGAGGGAGGCGCACGAGAAGAGGACCCGAATCCGGCCGGTCGGGTCGGGACTGTCGCCCAATGGGATCGGGCTGTCGAGAGCCGGAATGGTGAACTTGGCGCTGATGGATGGGATATTGGAAGTGGACAAGCAGAGGAAGACTGTCAGGGTGCAGGCCGGGATCAGAGTGCAGCAGCTTGTGGATGGCCTCAAGGACCATGGCCTTACCTTGCAGAATTTTGCTTCCATTAGGGAGCAGCAAATTGGTGGCATTATTCAGGTTCTTAAATTGCCTTTAGCCACTTCTGGAGATCTGCATTGACAGTGATATGACCAAATTAAGAATATAAAATCAAATTGAGTTGTGCTTAATTCAAATTGTTTGATAGTATCATAGCTTCTTGTTCGGCGTATCAAATCATTTGCTATGGGTAGTATAACAGTCTTTCCAACTTCAGGCTTAATATGTCCGGTACTCTGCAAGAGGGTGATGGAGATCTGAATTCAACTACTGATATATGAAATTAAATATATATAAGTGGGAAATAAATTTTATCTTACAAATTAGTTTTATAAGATTGAGTTACGCGGAAACTCAAATTATAAAATGGTATCAAAATTTATCCTACAAATTCATATTTGAGATATCTAATGCTCTCTGCTAGGCGGTTGTGTTAAAGGCATTGATCTAGTGTATGACCAAATTTAAGTATATAATGGAAACAATTCTCACTACAAGACAATTCTCACTATAATGGAAACCCATATTCCATGATAACCAATATCTGATTTTCCTGAGAAAAATATTACCAAAATATACTCTTAACACATTTTTTACCGTCATGTCAAAATTATATTGTGATTCTTACTTATTTATCGTGCTGTGTAACATGTAAGTGTTCTTCTTCTTCTTTTTTCCGAGGTTTTTGCCTGCTCGCGGTTTTCTGTTTGGCGCGGTTTAATACTATACCAATATAAAGTAAAGTGCTTTGCATTCATGTTTTAGGTTGGTGCACATGGCACTGGTGCAAGACTGCCTCCTATTGATGAACAAGTGATTGCCATGAAATTGGTCACCCCTGCCAAAGGGACTATCGAAATCTCAAAGGATAAAGATCCTGAGCTTTTTTATCTTGCTCGATGTGGTCTTGGAGGACTAGGAGTTGTGGCTGAAGTTACCCTTCAGTGTGTTGAACGACAGGAGCTTGTGGAGCACACATTTGTCTCAACCATGAATGAGATAAAGAGAAATCACAAGTAACTATTTGTTGCTATATATTTTTTGCCCTTTGGTAACATCAATCAAATAACAGATGTTGAATGTTATCATTTCAACGTTAAATACGCTATCTTTCTGTTACAGGGAACTAAGATCTAGAAGTTGATTTACTCCCAACAACTATAATAATAACGATAATGAGAGTGAACACTTGTCTTCCAAAGATTTTAGTGTCGTTATATTTGTTCTTTAAAGATTTCTGACACTAAATTAGTCCCAGAAAAATCTAAAATGCTTCGCAATGAAGTGGTAACATAAAAGGGCAGATTTGATAACTATTTTCAATCTATGAAGGACTAATTTAGTGACAAAAATCTCAGAAGTATTGCTGTGGTGAAAGCTAATTTTGGATGACCAATTTAAGTGTTTATTTTAATAATGATAAAAGAGTGAATCAGTGTCAAGGATCTGCCTCCCAAGATTTTGAATGTTAGGCTTTTTCATCTTATGCAGGAAATTGCTGTCTGAGAATAAGCATGTGAAGTACCTTTATATCCCTTATACTGACTCTGTTGTGGTTGTGCGATGCAATCCTGTATCAAAGTGGAAAGGTCCTCCCAAGTTTAAACCACAATATACTAAAGATGAAGCCATACAGCATTTGCGTGACCTTTACCGGGAGTCCCTCCAGAAATATGGGTACAATTAAACCTTCACTATTGTTTGTTAGAAGTACTAAAGTAGCCAGATGTGCAAGAAAGTGTTGCTGAGTCTTTTTCAGCGAATAATAACTAGCAGATGCTGTTACTTGCTCTCCTATTTTTCTGCAATTGGTTACAAGTTGTCTTCCATTTATGGCATTTCTTATTCTTTGTCTCTTGAATATGATTTAAATTACATTCAGAGGTAGAAAGAGACATTGAAGGAACTATCAAAGATTTATAACTCTTGGCATTTACCCTTATTGTAGGCCTGTGAAATTACTATTAATTTCTTGTAATATAGTAAGGCACGGACTGATAAATGTTGATGTATCTTGCATCTTGATTAGACTTATTGCATTCTATAATTTCATTTGTATTCTTCAGTTTTTACTACCGTTTTAATCACTTTCTCTATTAGTAGCTTGCTGCCAACAACTTTCGTTTTCTTTTATATCTTTAGTGACATATGCCATATTGTATTGGTGCCTTATTGTGAACTTCCCTGTTTCAACATGTGTATGAGTTTTTGTTATTTTGTACAGAGCAGAAGGTGGTGAACAAAATATAGATGAGCTTTCTTTCACAGAATTAAGAGATAAGCTAATTTCGTTAGATCCCCTCAATAAGAAGCACGTCATTAGCATCAATCAAGCTGAGGCCGAGTTCTGGCGAAAGTCAGAAGGATATAGGGTTGGATGGAGTGATGAAATATTAGGCTTTGATTGTGGAGGACAACAGTGGGTATCAGAGACATGTTTTCCAGCTGGAAAACTAGCTAATCTAAGCATGAAAGATCTTGAATACATTGAAGAGCTGAAGCAACTTATAGAGAAAGAAGAGATACCTGCACCTGCTCCAATTGAGCAGCGCTGGACAGCTAGCAGTAGGAGTCCCTTGAGTCCTGCTTCAAGTCCATCAGAGGATGATATATTTTCTTGGGTAATAAAACTCTTTCCTGGATAATTGTGCCGTACAGATAGTTCTAAATTCTTTATTAAGCCAGGATGGGTGAACTTGTATTACATGGTTTTTTAAATGCTAAAACTTCAGCTTCTCCAGATATGCATTTTTGTTGTGGATTTAAGATGATTTATTTGCTGAAAGGATAATTTACTAGAGTTTAATTTTAGTCAACTGCCATAGTTATGCCATTCATCATCTTTAATTTCAACTTTTTGAATTAATTGAAATTTAACATAACCCCTTTGCTCCTTCCATGAATTTCAACACTGTGATGCCATTTAGAAGATTTTGTTGACTGCTATATTTTGATGACGTTTCAGGTGGGTATAATCATGTACCTCCCAACCATGGATGCTCGGCAGAGGAAGGATATCACTGAAGAGTTCTTTCATTACAGGCATCTGACTCAGGCAAAATTATGGGATCGTTACTCTGCATTTGAACACTGGGCTAAGATTGAGGTAGCCATCTAAGTATCATAAACGACGATTATTGCTTAATTTAAATCGTTTGGTCTTTGCCCTAATTTGCTCATACTAAATTGCCAATTTGACTTGCTGCATAATATATTGAATCTATTCTGATAGAAAGGTCTTTCTCTCGCCTCCCCCCTTCCCCCCAGTATACACATGAACATTGGTCATGTTTGTTTATGGTTGTTGTTACTGAACAATAAATTGAACAATCTAATTCTTGGATAGCTTAGGTGTCAAAGGTACATCCAGCTGATATCACCTAATTTATCAATTGGAAAATGAAACGAAAGTGTTTAAACATTGAACTCCACTTAATTTTTGTGCATATTATCTGCTATCTAGGTTCCAAAAGACAAGGAGGAGCTTGCAGCTCTCCAAGCAAGGCTAAGAAAGAGGTTTCCTGTGGATTCATACAATAAAGCAAGAAAGGAATTGGACCCAAATAGGATCCTTTCAAATAACATGTTGGAAAAGCTCTTCGCGCAATCAGACGTCATATAAATTCTGGGTTGGTTATTTTGTCTAAATTGTCTATATCCTTTTATGTTGAATTAATTCTACCCTGAGTTCTGTCTGCAATCACATGTGGAACCTTGGGATGCATAATGTCTGGTGAACAATCTGGATTACTATGCGTTTTCATTTTTTAAGTTTATTGTCTGCCTGTCAGATGCATTAGACTCGGAAGCTTAAAGAATTGTGATGTATGTATATAGAGGAGCTGGATTAAGCTTTTCGTCTGTTACTAATCTCATCTGAAAGACGAAGCATAAAGATAGGGCGATAGGGGGAACTAGATGAGAAAATCTGTTATAGTTGTATGAATTGCTACCTGGTAAGCACGAATAATGTCCATCATACTACATTTTTTTTTTTGGCGTTCAATTTGGCTTGTTATTCCAGGATTTGCATTAGAGACTTTTGCCTTTCTTATAACATTTTTCTTTTCCTTAACAATATCGGCTGCTAGACCTTTCGAAAAGCAAAGGGAAAGAACAAAAATGTAAGAACGGTCTCTAGAAAAGTGCAGAAATAATGGGGATTACTTCCTCAAGATATTGGTTCCTTAACGATGTATCAAACATATACTGTTGATTACATTTAATGCTCTCAAGGGTTTGAAAAGAAAAAATAACACGAAAAACCTTAGGTTCTATGCCAACATAAAAAGAGGACAAGTTTTTACTTTTTTTTTTTTTTTGGCTTCCTATATTTTTGTATAACACCTTATAGAAAGAGGACGGTATGCCGCTGATATTTTCGATATTAGAATAATTCAACTGTTTTCTTTCTGTATTGGAAATTTGGAGACTGTTATATTTCCTTTTCTTTTATTTATGTAGTTTTTATACTTAGTTACAAAAGGTACATTTTTCGTTGTGAAAAGCTATTTTTTAACCCTACTATAATTTTATTTTTATTATTTTATAACTTAAAGAGTATTTCTCAGAATATAGAAAATTAATCAAATATATTTCTAGTGGTGTCCAACTATAATAGTTTTTGGAAATGAAAGTGGGAGAACACGTAATCATAACATGAAATCAACTTAATAGTTAAATCATATTTTGGTGAAGTAGTTGAAAGATACGGTGAACAAAGTGTCAAATCCCAACTATCAACAAAATGAAAAGGCTAATACGACGATGGCCCAATCAGAATCCCATGACAGGACACTAAATATAGAAGCCTGTTTCTTCAAGCACCCCATATTTATTTAAAATAATAATAATAACTCTAACATAAATAGATTATAAAAATTTCTGAAAATTTTTTGGATTGATTTTTCTAAGAATTTATCGAACAAATTTTATAAAAATATTTCAGAAAACTGATTTCAAAACAGTTTCTTCCAAAAAAAATTAAAATATATTTATAAAAAATACAATATGTAAATGAGTTTTGGATTATGCATCCTGAAACTTGTTTTTTATTGGTCCGAAATTAAAAATTATTTTTTTAGATTGTATTTTTATTAAAAACTCATTTCTAAATTATATTTTTCAGAAATTTATTTTAAATTTAACAATAATCAAATGCATTTTTTATATGATTTTTGGATACACTATGATTCAAGATATAAATCACTAACTAATTTTTAACTTATAAGTGAAAATGATAGTTAAAGATATAAAAAAAAATGATAAACAGAAATATAGATGATGGTATAAAAGTGTGATGCAAAAAATAGATTAAAAACTTTTTTAACATTTTATACATGTTATGGAGGCAAAAGATATTAATGGGGTTGCAGGAAGAAGCACCCAATACGGAAAAAGCAAACATATTTAAAAATGGGGCAGAAATTAGTTTTAAAAAAATGCCAGCTGTCACATTAATTATTTATTTATGTTCGCCGAAAACTACTGGAACTCATATAGGTCTCATTCTTAATTAAAACTAGTAATTTTCTTGAATTTCAATATTCTTAAACTAAAAGTAAATTAGAAAGAAAATTATATTCCTAACTTTTTTCGAGACAAAATAATTTAATCAACGGTACTTAGAAAAGTTAGATGAAATTTTTCACAGTGATGTAACTTCGAAGATGATGGTACTTTGTCCTCTGCAGCAGTGGTGAATGAGAGAGAAAGGGGAAGAAGTGGATTTTTGAAGTGTTTTTTGGTTAACCGTTTTGAGGGGCTGAAAAGCCTACTTCCATGGCTTAGCCTTTTTCTTCCCAAACACTCTCTCTCACTTACCCACCATCATCGCTTTCTCTTCCTGCAATTCTAATTTTATCTTATCATCATTATAACCAAAAATATATTCATCAAATTCAAGTCTTCAAAATTTTTTTAAAATAAAAATAATTATTTTTACGTTGAATCATGTTAGATTCAATGTAAAAGTGAAATTTATGTTGAAAATGTATTCAATTTTATCTTTTATATTAAATTTATTTTATATCTTCTATTTTCTATACAAGAGAATTTGTATGAAGTAATAATGATTTTAGTCAGATGAAAAAAGATTACAACTATGAAATTCTCAAGTAAAACTTATATTACATTATTCAATAATCAACATAAATTTATGTTAGATTATTCAATAATTAACATAAAATTAAGTTAGATATTCAATATTTGATATAAGATAGTCTCATGTAAACTTAGGTCATCGAAATGTAAAAAAAACAGAAAAAATATATATAACAAATCTTTTAGATACTACTAATAGTAATATTACATTTAATAAGAAATATAAGATAATAAAATTATAATATATTTTTAGTATATTATTCGTTTGATTTATTCTTATATAATATGACACATTTCTTTTGAATCCCAACATCATATTTTATATTTGATGAAGTTTAGAATATTAAATCATATGGCAAAACAAAAGAGATTGAAGTCTTACAACGTTTTATGTTTGAAAAAAAAGAAGTAAAATTATGAAAAAGGATATTTGAATTAATGTTATTTTGATGTTGATGGGGTAAGAGGGAAAAAGCTTTTACCTTTATAATGAATTATACTTTGCATTATTCCCTTTCGATTTTACTTGCTTCAATCTTCAACTAATATTTAATTAATTCTATTATTGTAATTCTTTGTCAGCTCTGACTCACACCATGACTACAAACCAAAAATATAAAAGATTTAAAAAAAAAGTTAGAAAAATACTTTAGTATTATTGTCATTAGGGTTTTAGTGACAAAATTTGTGTTTATTAATGGAAAAAATTAACTATAAAATTATATTTTTTAATATAATTACTTTATTTTTATTCTTCTGTACGTATGACTATCATATTGTTTAAGAATTGAGATTAAGATATACATTTTTCTCTTTTTTACTCCACAAATATATTTTAAGAATAATATTAAAAAAAAAGACAGTATCGTGAGAAATTTTTCATCAAAATACCTTTTCATTTCGCCAATACCCTTCATATAATTAATAATAATTTATTCAAAATAAAAAAACTTAAAAAGTTAGTAGTAGTATTTATTAAATGAATATTTTCTTAAATGAAAAGATTATAAAAGATGTAAAAATTGATTAAAGAGTTGACTTAACGAATGAGTGGCAATTTGATTGGTCAATAATGGATTGATTGTGTTTATCCACATTTTTCAAAGTTTTAAAGAAAAATTTGTACTCTTTTCCAATACCTTTGACCACTCGTAATCAATTGTCACCCTTGTTTAAGTAGTGATATCACATCCACCAATTTTATTTCTTTTTAAACATTTTTCAAATCATGAATTTTGAAATACTATACTTTAATATTCTTTTAAATAACAACAATAAATAAACTATTTCTTTAAAAATAATTTCAAATAATCTTTATATTAAGACAGATATCGGAATCAATATTTGAGGATAAATTAGAAAGAAAAATTATTTAATTTAAAAAATTTTGCTAGATGATTTTAATTGTCGCCATAGGATTGAGGAGTAATAATAATCGATTTAATTAATTATGATTAAGCAATTTTCACAAGACAGAAGGATATTTCAAAATTATAATAATAGATCTCTTTCTGTCAATAATATAAAGTTATGAAAAATATATATTTTTTATTGCACGAAAACAAAAAATTAAAAACAAAGAAACTCTTTCAATTAAAAAAAAAAACTGTATGTTATTAATATGTTATAATTGGCCAAAAGTTAAAGAGAAATACATAATTAAAATTTGATAAATCTTAAGAAATAATATTTGAAAGAAATAAAAATAGCTAATGAGAAAAAGTCGTTTGACATATACATAATTTTCTGATTAGAAATATTTTTAAAATTTGTTATATAAAAAATAAATAAATAATTAATTAAAAATTTCCAATCAATCTAAAATATAGTGTTGTAAAGAAATGTTTTAGATTTAACAAATGTTTTTAAAATCAAATTGGTAATGTATGAAATAACATTATAATTTTTATTTATAAAATAAGTGTTTTGACTGAAAAATGGATTAAAAAACAACACATCGAATAAATAATAATAATAATAATAAATATTAAGAGACTATGAAGTTTTTTATATTTTATTGGAGGGGATTTTGTGATTTGTTCAACAACTGTTTTATAGTCTTTGCTTAAAAAAGATTGTGTAGTGCCTAAAAAAGACGGTGTGATGAAAGGCCGTATACCATTCATTAAATTTTTTTAAAATAAAAATAAATTGTAAAAAAAAAAAACGGGTAAATGAGAGAAGAAAGCACGTATGAGGAGGTCAAAATGTTAAATTTTTGAATGAAGTATAATAAATAAAATAATATAATATGATTTTTTTTCTTTTATTCGTAAATATACGTTATTTGGTTGGAGAAGTGAGATGAGAGGAGATGGTGATGGTGTGGGAAAGTGGTACGAGTAATGCACTTTGGAAATTCGGAATATATGATGATGGGAGTGAAGTGATTAGAAAGAAGGGAAGTGAAAGGACAATAATTTGATGAAAGACCAAAAGACAGAATTTGTGGGCGAGAGGAGTCCATGTGAGCAAGGGAAATCAATTTCTCAAATCCTATTCTTCTTCAAATACATTCACAATTTCTCCTTCAACAATCACAAATTCTCCTCATTTTCGAAGGTTTAGTAGTGGAATGTGATATTGTTAATGAGTGAGAGAATTTGGTTTTAATGGGTCAATGCAAAAGCTTTTGAGTTGACTCCAATAATATTCCACCACTACACACCATATATGTAGCCATTTTTTTGACTTTGCTTCTCCACCAAACTTTCAATCTCGCTTTCAACCACTTCCCATTTGTGGAATTCCCATCGTTTCCCAATATCGTTGTTCATGTCTACTCCTTCTCTTACCAAATATATGTTTTTGTTATAAAGAAAGGTGTTTTAAGTGTTTTTAGTAAATGATATTAGGGTTGGTGGTGATGTGGTGAGTGGAGGAAAATTGTGTGATTGTAAAGGTAGAGTGAGGCAACGTCGATTAAGGTAGAGCAAAATCTCCCACAGATATTTTCCCTCAATTTCATTTCCACAATTGCATGTACATAATTCCAGTCAACTCTAACCCAAACGCATCCTTAATTTCAACCCTAATTTCAACCCTATTCACATTCCTTCAATACACAATCATTAAACTCAAAGAACCAAAGTCGTAAGAATGGAACCCACAATCGCAGTTATATGGAAACACAAAACAATAAGATTCATACTATTATTATTATTATTATTCACCTTCAAATTTCTTATATAAAAAATTGAATAATTTAATCTTACAAAATCAATTCAATATTTTATTTTTTATTTTTACATTCGTTATATTAATAAATTTATAAATCTTTTTTAAGTATAAATTTAATTAAGAATAAAATGATTTGTAAATAGGGGAGTATAATGGTAAATATAACGTGGATGTGATATTCCTTTAAACCTATAAAATTTGACCCAGAGTTAGTTTCATTGTATAAAATAAACTTTTTAAAACCACACCAAAAAGTATTGCTGATGTGTATGGTTGTGATTGTGATAAGAGTTATAATATTATTTAATACTTTTTTTTTTACGCTGATTTAGTAAAGTAAACATGTGATTAACTTTTAATAGTTTTAACTGTTTTAGTATTTAATATTTGTTATGGTTTAATATGGCATTGTAATTTAGGATTTAAATTATTCAATAACTTTTTTAAATATTTGTTTGGTTAAAGGTTTATTCATGAAATTTTAAACATGTGATTAATCACGTATAGTGTAATTTAATTATAATTAAAAAAAATGATTATGTTAGATAAGTAGAGATTTACACAGGTTAAGTTTGTTATAATTCATATCTCAACCCAATTAAAAAAACATTGGATTGAGTTGGGATGAGTTTATAAAGAAAAAGTAAAATATTATATGATATAAAAAATGGTTAGAAAAAGCCATAGAAACAAGGTTGATACGCTTCTCTACTACGAACCTTTTAAAGAATAAAAGATTTGTTTATTTGTGTCTAGTAATTGGCATGATCATCGTGTCCGTATGTTTTTACGTATTTTGTTAAATTCGTGTACTCGTGTACGTATTTTGTTAAAAAATACGTATTTACATGGAATACGTAATAATATAACATTAATTATATTTTAATTGGTGGTACACATTGATGCATAGAAGGAGCTACGCAGATGAAAAATATAATATTTGGATTAATTTTAAAAGCGGAGCCGCCCATAATAGCCACCCAAAATGCTCTCTCTCTCTCTCTCTCTCTCTCTCTCCAAAAAGGAAAATGAAATGTGGATGAATTGATTAAACACAACACAGCACAAAAACAAGGGTCTCCAGCAGAGAATCCCATAAAAACAAGACCAACAGTAGCATCATCGACCGCAACAAAAACAACACCAACATCAAACAAAAGAACCCAACACAACACCCTCGTTCACTTCACTACTATTTCATCTCAATCACTCCTTCCCCTAACCCCTAACCCCTTTCCCCTCACTCACAAGTTATTGTCGTAGCCATAGATAGATGCATAGATAGGGACCAACCCTAAACTGTTGAGGCAGTACTAACTCACGCTCACTCAAAACACACTCACACTCACACGCGCACAGTACCACCAACATCATCGCCATGTCCCTCGAAGACTCTCTAAGATCTCTCTCTCTTGACTACCTCAACCTTCTCATCAACGGCCAAGCCTTCAGCGACGTCACTTTCCAAGTCGAGGGCCGCCTCGTCCACGCCCACCGCTGCATCTTGGCCGCGCGCAGCCTCTTCTTCCGCAAATTCTTCTGCGGCCCCGACCCCCCGCCCGCCCTCGACCCCTCTGCCTCGTCCAGAGCCGCCGCCGCTTCGGCCGCGCGCCCCCCCGGCGTCATCCCTGTCAACTCCGTCGGCTACGAGGTCTTCTTGCTGCTGCTGCAGTTCCTCTACAGTGGACAAGTCTCCATCGTGCCGCAGAAGCACGAGGCCAGGCCCAATTGCGGCGAGCGAGGGTGCTGGCACACGCATTGCACCTCCGCCGTTGATCTCGCCCTCGACACCCTCGCTGCCGCCAGATACTTCGGCGTCGAACAACTCGCATTGCTCACTCAGGTTAATTCATTTCTATCTTTTTCTCTATGCCATTTAAAATAAAAATACTTCTAAAAATCAAATATAAGAAAATAAAGCTTGTTCGTAAGTTTAGATTAATCTTCTTCTTTTTTTTTAAGAAAATTAATTAGAATTAAAATTAACTTCTCAAAAACATTTATTTTATTACTTTTCTTCTTTTTCTTTCTTACCATTATATTTCCTTGCCACCAGTCTTACGTTTTCTCTTTCTGGGTCTTGGGAATTCGGACAATCACTGTTTCTGATCTTTGGAAACTGGGAAGGGTTCTTATTTATTTTTTATTTTTTATTTTTTATTTTTACTTTCCTGCTTTATTTTATTTTATTTAATACTATATATATAACCTTGTTATGATGAATGATTGATGGAGAGAGTGAAATTTTTCGAGTTACGGATTATGATCTCATGATATATATAAATACTTCCCTCTCTGGAATGTGAACAATATATATTTGTTCACTTCAGCTCCCATACATAAGAACAATTCCTGTGCTTCTGTGTTTCTTCCAAGGTTATGGTGTTTTTCTCTTTCAGTTTTGGGAAAATTAAAGCAAGACATGGATTTATTATGTAGGGTTATATTTATACACGAGTTGATGTATTGACACTCTTAGATTTCATGTAGATATATATTTTAGAGACACGGAGTTTGTCGATTTGGTGTTTCTCTACCCTTTATGATGCATGTCAAACATTTCCCAAATTAAGATAATAAATAAACACCATTCTTGTCTTCCACATATCCAGCATGCCAAATCATTCATTCCCTTTCCTCATTTGGGTGAAAAGAGAAGAAGCTAAAATCGCTGATCCTGCATGACTTCAGCAAAATATCTGTTATTGGATCTTCATCTTTTCCCTCATTTTCTTTGACACTCCTATCTCTCAGTTTTTCACATTCTAAAATGCTGCCTCGTATTAATTTTCAAAGTACATACCAAAACATAACAGTTTGGTCTTTATAAGGTTCTGGCTACAATTTTAAGGAAAAGTTCAATAATTAGACAAAGCTTACATACAGTTTACTAAATATTTTTAAATTGTTCTGTAAATAAAGTTAGAACTTCAATGAAAAAAGAAATAGGTAACAAAAAAAATTGAATATTTAATTGATTGATAGTGTTGTGGAGATAGGAAGAAAGAGTTTTGAAGATTATGTGTCTGATTGATTTGATAGAGAATGAAAAAGCAAGAGATAAATAAAAAATAGGTGGGAAATGATAGAGTGAATTTCACCAATATTTACAAACCAAAACTAATTCCTTAATTTTCTCTCCTCTCTACTATGTTATATCTTTCTGATAGCATATAATATATGAAATTCTGATTAAATTGATGGGACATTAACATCCAAAAACAACAAAATAATATATCTAAATTTTGTTTTATGGTATTTAGACCAACTACTAAATAAGCACTTTTAATTAAAAAAATAGAAAAAAAAAATAACTTGTAAAGAAGTCCGTTTTTTTTTTCCTTATTATTTTTCTCTTTTAAAAATGCTCATGAAAATGAACATTTGCATAGAGGGATAATTTTTTTCTGCAGACAATTATTAAAAAATAATTAAATTTTGCTTAGAAACTTTTAAATTCAATTTAAAAAAAAAAACTGAAAATATTAATTTATTTATAGTTTGTAAAGTGTTTAGTATAAGTGAGGGTGAGAGTTAACAGAATGATTTAGTTTGGTGTGGTTGCTTACATTGATGAACAGAAACAACTAGCGAGCATGGTGGAGAAAGCCTCAATCGACGATGTGATGAAAGTGCTGATAGCATCTCGAAAGCAGGAAATGCAGCAGCTTTGGAGCACGTGCTCCCACCTGGTGGCCAAGTCAGGTCTTCCGCCGGAGGTGCTGGCGAAGCACCTCCCCATTGACGTGGTGGCCAAGATCGAGGAGCTCCGGCTAAAATCCTCCATCGCGCGCCGCTCCATGCTGCCGCTGCAGCACCCGCACCACCACCCGGACCTGGCCAGCGCGGACATGGAGGACCAGAAAATCCGGAGGATGCGACGCGCGCTAGACTCCTCCGACGTGGAGCTTGTGAAGCTCATGGTGATGGGGGAGGGCCTGAACCTGGACGAGGCGCTGGCGTTGCACTACGCTGTGGAGAGTTGCAGCAGGGAGGTGGTGAAGGCGTTGCTGGAGCTGGGTGCGGCGGATGTAAACTTCCAGGCCGGTCCGGCCGGGAAAACGCCTCTGCACGTGGCGGCGGAGATGGTGTCTCCGGAGATGGTGGCGGTGCTGCTGGACCACCACGCTGACCCGAACGTGCGAACGGTGGAGGGCGTGACCCCGTTGGACATCCTGAGAACCCTAACCTCGGACTTCCTCTTCAAAGGGGCAGTCCCTGGACTCACCCACATTGAGCCCAACAAGCTCAGGCTTTGCTTGGAGCTCGTGCAATCCGCGGCTCTCGTTTTGTCTCGTGAAGAAGGGAACAACAATGCTAACAACAATGACAACACTAAAAACAGCAACACTTCTGCTTCTGCAACTGCTATCTTTCCACCAATGAATGAAGAGCACAGCAGTAGCAATTTGAACACCAGATTGGTTTATCTCAACCTCGGCGCCCCGCCACAAATGGGTGACGATGAAGGCAGCCAGAGAGAAGCCATGAACCGTCATGGCTCGCAAGGTGGTGGATGTGACCCATCAATGTACCATCACTCTCATGACTTCTAGTTCTAGTTCTAGTTCTAGTTCTAGACAAGTACCTATTATCGTTATTATTATATATTTATATATAATATGTTTGAGCTAGAGTAGCTGGTTATATAGCTGGCTAGCTAGTGGCTACCTTGAAATCTCAACATAAATTGGAAATATAATTGAAGCTAATTTCCATTGCTACGGGTGACTGAAAATATTAAAAAGGAGAGAGAGTGTAGAAGGTGCAGAAGGGACCGTGGACACATTGTTGATTGGATTTATTTTCCGTAACCATGATCCACAGACTGAAACTGTCGTTCAAAAACTAATCTGTTGGTTGGATTAGGATAGCTGAAGGGAGCTTAATTATATATATATATATATATATATATATATATATATGTGTGTGTGTGTGACTTTTTGGTGGTGTCAGTTGAAAGAGTATAGCGTTGATTAGTCATTTCATTAGAAACTGATACGGTGGTTTTATTCTGTTTTGGGCTCTCTGGCCTATGTTGGGGTTGTCTGTGTTTCTTTTTGTAGGCTTTTCAAATGGTCGCAATTTGAAGTGCGGTTTCATAGGAGATGGGGATAAACGACAAGGAGAATCTAATCAGTGTAATTTTAATTTTTGGGTGTAAAACGAAAGGGTGCATGGAGGAGACGCAGGTCAATCTTTTCAATCCCACTTCACCTGTCAACTCCTTGTTTTTTTTTTATACACGCTGATGATGCTCAGCTAATATCACGCCCTACTTAGTGTGATCCTTTAATTTGGCTTTTCTGATTCCATTTCTTGTCCCACCTCACCCCACTTTCTCCCCCTAACCTATATTATTTACTTCTAACTCTCATTCTTTTCTGTTTTTTATTTATTTTCCAAATTAAGGCTCGTTTGATTATGCTAATTATGGGTCATCTTTTCTATTCACACTTTATGTATGATTCTTTTTCTTCTTATATGTAGGTCGATGGAAGCATTCTTTTGCTATAATTAACTAGTTTTGAGATTTATTGTTTTTCTTTTAATCAAAAGACGTGGCTGTGGACAAATTGATTGGTTGTCTTGCATGAATGCTACAATGAGTGTGACCACACATGTCAAGTTAAAATATTGGCACTATCTTCTTCCATGTAATCCTCTTTTTGTCCCCTTGCCTTTTGGAGCCTATTCAGGATAAAATTAATACTTTACAGCTAAAAGCTATTATATTAGCAGTAATGTCTTTAATTATTGCTAATTTTTGTCTAAATTGATAATTCGTAGTGGGTCAGGGAACATTCTTCATCAGTTTACTCCATAATTAATTCCCTGCATGTACATAGATAATTAAGCATCTGGGGTTTTGAGTACGTGATCTTCTGAAACCATTTCACCCCAAATTAATCAGTTAATACTTGAAATTTTTTTGTAGCAGATGCATATCTAACTTAATGTTATAGAACTATTTCTTATATGTTATCTTTCTTGTACTCATATTTGGCCATCTATGAACGCAAATAATATAGCTTTTGTATCTGTGTATATATATATATATATATATATACTTGATGCCACCCTATTTACCATAAATATGCAACTGTCTAGTAATTCTGTTTATTGGAAAGTGATTTGATGTACTTGAACAGTTGATCCATCACTTCTATTACTCGTCCAACATAAACATGTATGGATCTTCTCGTGATGATATAAATGCTTTTAGACCAAAGTCAGAGAATAATTTGTCAAATATACTAGTCTTGACTGTGTTACTTAATATTTCTATATTGCATTTATCAGTGTCTCTATTTTTCTCCATGTTAACTCTAGTTTCATGTAGCCAATAAATTTCTTAGAAGACTATAAATGAGTGATGATCAGTATTAATTAGTGTTGTGGATAAAAGTATTATTTTAAAGGGTTGGAAGGGAAACAGTATAACTGAACTTGTACAGGATTTTGCAGAGATCTAGGACAGAAAAGTACATGACTTTAACTAAAACTAGGGCATTAATTGACCACTGCTATTAGCAGTTTGGACTGTATATAAAAGCAGGGAAGTGACTACTCCTTAGTTTGCCATGGTGGTGTGCCTGAGATTTTGGTAATCATGATTTCACCTGCTACTTGCCCGTGTTTTGAAACGTCAAAATGTTAAGAAATCAACCCTTTTGCGTGACAGTAACTTTTATTCTAGGATGAAAACCTTGGCATGTGTTTTGATTTATGCTAACCTTCAGTTTTTTTTTGTCTTCACTTTTTTATTTCTCAAATGTTTAGTTCTACCCTTTCACCTTTCTGCACATTTCTTTCCCCCGTTTGAAACCTGCTCTTGTTTCTTTGTTGTCATGGTTAAGACTGTGTACCAGTGTCAACTAGCAGTGCAGAATGTTAAACTAATAATTTTGAGAATCAAAATCATATATAATTCTCACACATTCAAATTTGTTCTCATATATTATTGTCATTAATATGTGAAAAAAAAACACGTTATGCATGTGGGAATATAAAAAGTAATTAAAAATAATATTAATTGAGTTATGAATAAAAAAAATGCTCATGACTCTTTTTTCAAAATTAAGACAATTGAAATATGATAGATAAATTCTTCAATAATAAAATAAATTGTCAAAGTTGAAATTTTAAATCTTAAATCCTAATTAAAAATAAGGTCTTATATAATCTATCGTGGTATAATTTTATTTTATTTTTTTAAATATATTGAGGATGACGAAAGGGTTCAAAATTGGATGATCTAAAATAAATAATTAAAAAACAATCGAAATTGTTATATATATATATATATATGGAGAGAGAGAATCGACTCAAAATAATTTATTATATATAAATATAATGTAAGATATTTAGAATTAGTTAATAATTAACAAAATATCGCTTGAAGATTTATTTATGGTTTTGTTGTATATATATATATATATATATATATATATATATATATATATATATAATAACAAAATTACATTTTAGTTTTTAATGATACTATTGTATAATTTATTTATGAATATGAGAGAAATTTAAAACGATGCATATGATAATAATTATAATAAATAAATAAATAATATTTTCATTTTCTTTACAATATTTTATTATAAAATATTCAATAATCTCTCTACAAAATATTTAACCATTTTACTGTAATAAAAATTACTAAAATTTATCCAAACCAAATAATTGAATATTAACTTTGTTTTAGTCATATTTTAAATTAAAAAATAAACAAAATAAAATGAGGTTAATTTTTATGTTTGATTTGAGTAAACCTTTTTTTAATAATAATAAAAAAATCTAGTAACGTTCTTATAAAGTTGTCATTTGATGCAAGATCTAATAATTAACTCTGTTGTCTTCACCAACATCTTTTGGCATCAAATCCAACTAGATTTTACAATTCCAGAAACGAAAACCTAATTGAGAGATCAACCTCTTATTTTTCAAATATTAGCGAGTAAAAGTAAACTGATATAAAGTATAACAATCACACTCATTATTAATGACAGTGATGTTTAGAAAAAATGAATTACTGATATAATGCAGAAGTGATAGTGCATGCAATTATACACAAGAGTTGATGAAGATATAGAAGAAAGTGTGAAAATGTGTGTAACTGGCCTCACTAAAATCTTAAACTCTCTTTAATCTGCGATGGTAATGTGTGGTTTTGAAGGTGGGATGAAATAATTGCAATGAGAATTGAGTTGAGACTTTATGTCAGTGAGGTGCAGGCGTGGAGAGAGTGAGAGAAAGAGACACACATCTACAAAAACGATAACAGTGAAGTAATGGTGTGAGTGAGACAGTGAGAGCAGTGTTAAAGTTGAAGCCTGCACCTGCATAACCTAATCCATGAAGTGAAAAGCTACCATTATTCACAACTCAAGATGGTCTTATAGATTATTATATGAAAATTAAGATTAAATTAAATTTGAAATAAATTATGTTTCGATAAGGATGAATATTAGGTATGAAGTATAAATTAAAATTTTCAATAAGATAAAATAGAATAATGTATTTAAAGGAGGGCAATAAGGTAAATGTGATGATGAGCAAACAGGGAAACTGTGAAAGAGGTTTGAACTGTGGTATCAGACATCACATGGAGACTACCATGAAGCTGACATTACATGCCAGCACCATGCTTGTCTCCTCTTCTTCTGTTCTTTTCTCAATAAATGTGTTGATGCAGTGCAGTGCCTCCTGCTTCACCAATCTTCTTCTTCTTCTTCTGCTCCTTGAGATGGTTTTAAGGATTCAGTTAATTCAGTCCCACCTACTCCTCCTCCTTGGTCTGTGTTGTCAATTGTCACCACACAACAAACACAATTTCATTCCTCTCTTGCTGCATATTTATGGCAATAACTTGGCTCTCAGTACAAAAGGGTGATCATATCAGATGTTTCACCACTCATCATTTGCCACATAAAACTGTACACCAGATTTCAATGATCAGGGGATTTGAGTCTGCCCTAACTACTGTTCCTAGCTACGTTCATTTTTTATTTCTTGCATCTATCTATGTCTCGTCTAAAACCAGAAATGTGTCCATAAAATAACGCATTGGAAGAAGAAACCTTTATTATTATTGTACTTGGTGGAGTATATATGAACACTAGTTAATATATATCACGAAACAATTACATGCACTTGGAATCCTCATGCAAGAAATCATCTACAGTATAACTTCATGGAGGATCTGTTACCACTGTTAGGTAAAAACCCTTATGTATTTAATAATACCAAGAAGGTGGTGTGTTTGGAAGGTGCAAAAGATAATCAGAAACATGTAATTTTTATCTTTTTCTATTTTTTTGGTTGAACATTTTTTTTTTCAACTGTATTTTTATTTACAATATTTGATTTGAGCCTCCCTCCTATGATTTGGATGGAAGAAGACAAAGATTTTACTGACAGGTGGTAAATAAGGAGAGTATGGAAGTCAGCAAAAATCCATTATTTGGTGTGTTTTTGGAAAAAAAATTATTCATGAAAAATCTCAAATATAAAGAGAATAAATAAATAAATATTACAAATCATAATGTAATGAGAAAAATATAGATAAAAATTATAATTTTTGTGCCAGTGTTTAAATATAATAAATGTTCATTTATTATTTTTTAAAATATAATCGGACATTCCTCTATTAATTAACCCATGATTGAATTGGGTTTAAATAATAATAATAATAATAATAATTATAATAATAATAATATTATTATTATTAAAATTAAATTATATAAGGAATATTAAAAAATATAATATAATTTAAAAACCATAGCACGTTTTATAATTTTTTAATATCTAAAATACACATAAGAATAAAGTATTTCATAATATTTAGATTTAAGGTTTAAAAATACATAATAATATTCTTTAGTATCGTGAAAATGTTTTCTTTTTTTTATATTTTGAGAAAAAATAAATAAAGCGAGATCTAAATAACTTCTAAAGAAATAAGCTAATTAAGTTTTTTTTCTTTAACTATAATAAGGGGATTTGCTGGAAGAGTTACTTATAAACAAAAATATTATTTTATCAAAGTTAATTATACATTAGCTAATATGTAAAAAAAACATAAATTTTTAAAAAATATATTTTTATTTTATGCATAAAATAATGATTTTTTAGCTTAAAAAGTACGTTGAATTCATCTAAAGAATAATTTTAAAAAACTTCTCTATAAACACTTTTAAGAGAGAAAGAAAATAGAAAGACAACGAACTCATGTGTAAATTAATTTGTAAAAATTATTTTAACATAGTTCTAAAAATATTATCAAAGTTATTTCATATCAATTTCTTTAATATTTAATTTTATTTCCTACATAAACTGATTTTAGATTTTGCAACAAAATGGTATGGTTGGAGTAGAAGTTGCCAATTAGAATTTCTCAACATTTTTCAAAAACACTGATTATGTAAGAGCCTATGCATTAATTAGGCCATAAAACAACCTAGGATGTATGTGTTATATATGTCTGTTTTCGATATTCAAGAACAGATAACAAAATAGACAACAAAGATTAAAGCAAAAAGGATAGGAAAACCCTACAATTTCTATTCATAATTGCTAAGCTGAAAGTGAAATCATATACAAAATGAGTACTCTGTAGGCATCTACACAACATGGTCGTGGAACACTGGAGCAATGAACAAATTAACATTACAAACTACCTGTTTGCTTTAAGGACAATTTCTACGTGGAAAAAACTTCCAGGTCAAGTCACTTTAGACGATAGCCCAAAACTTTTTTCTACAAATTAGAACAGTTTCCATTTTCTTTTCTTTGTTCTCTAACAATTTTGATTCTACATCCCACAGGAATTTTGGGGCTACCTCTTGGATTCTTGAGGTAATATCTTCCTCGTCCCTAATGATAACAAATCCCTGCATATATTACATAGCGTTCAGTAATTAATTAAGAATAAAAGAAAATGAAAGTTAGGACATATTATCATGGAAGCTTAATGATGGGAGTTAAGCTCAAAATGAAAGTTCAATCCAAAAGTTTGCATCTTGATCAGTCTATATATCAAATAGGACTCAAGCATAACAGGAGAACTAAGAAGGCTAATAATCTATTAGGTGGGAGAGTCTCAAGGTTTAAGTATCAAGTAGTTTATTTTACTTAATGTGGGACTCCGAACACTTGAAAACACATTTGAGACGACTTGTACAAGTATTTACATCAGATTTGACCAAAAATCATCCATTGTTCCATGCGTGTAGATAACCATGAAGATGACAGTTTAGAAATGTGATTACCAGTGGCCGTATAAGTCGATCCATCTCCAGCATGATGTCCTCCAATAAACAACCTTCCCCTTTTGTTTTGTAGTGGGAGAAGAGATAGTTGGCATGCAAAAGATCATATGTCCGAGGGTAACTCGAAATTGATTCACACCTAATGTTTCAGAATCCATATTAGCTGTAGTCAACTAATAATAAGTATAAACACAGTTGTTAAGTATTTTCTATTTAGAATATCAATAGCAGAGTCTTACCAATCATGAAAAGTTCCAATCAGTCCTCGGTCATAAATTCCAGATAAGGTGTTGTTCATGCTTGCAGGAACTACATTCATTACCCAAACAGGAAAATTATTTAGTGCCACAGCAAATCCACCACAATAGGCATTCATATCCATCACATTGCGTATTTCGGTCTCCTTGACATTCATCAGTCTCCAGTAATGACCAATTTGTTCTTTCCAGAAGAGAGTATCTGAAGTAAATTCATTCTGATTTATACCTGCTGATCAAAAGGTTAAAGGGTTAACAGACTTAAAGGGACTATTGAGTGCACCATAGCAATGCTTGTTTTAACATATAATTTCCATTTGAACGGTAAAACAATTGTAGTCCTTTTTGTTTTAGATGTATTAACTTTTAACTATCCATTCAAAAACAAGGCACGAACCAGAGGTTGCTTGCGTATCTATATAATTATGTTATCAATATTTACATTGATGATTGTCAGAATACTTTCATTTTATAGATAATTTGGGGAAATGCTCAACTAAATGTCTGTCTCATAATATAGTAAATTTATTCAGGAAAATGACAAGAGGGTTGATCCTACATCTCAATCTATTTTTCTTTTTTCTTTTCTTTTTAACATCGATGAGAGTTAATTATGTTCCCATTGAACTTGAAGTTTCAGAATAGAACTATTCACAGCTTGAGAAAAACAAAAATGTAGTAAAGCTAATTTCTGCTATGCTGCAGATTGTGCCTTTCTAAGACTATTGAATATTATCTAATAACCATTTGAAAATACATTTTGAAAACAATAAATCATATGCATCAAGAAGCGTGAACATTGAAACCATGTTTGTTAGCAGGACCTTTATTTAATGTCATTTGAACAAAATTTATATGGTCTCAGAGTGCACATGTACGTGTGTGTGAGAGAGACAGACAGATAAGGAATCACTACTAGAAAGGTAGAACAAGTATAATTAAAGATTAAGGAATATATGGAAAGCAAAAACTAGCTTCTTGCACTAGTACAAAAGAGAATGATCAGACCTATCATGTTAAGGTTGTCAGAAAACACTGAATGGCGCTCGTGACTAGGAGGAAGCTTGTAAGCATCTGTTTTGGAATTTCTTACTTGTACACAATTCTTAAGCTGGGTATTCCATGAAGTTTTAGAATCATCAGCAGGTTCACAGAGGTTCATAAGCTTTTGTTCTGCATTGTGCAAAAGGCATGACTGGTTATTTTCTTTAATCCATATTGCTGTCTGAACTTTTCGAGCGATGAGTCTCCAACAAATTGCTGTAGTCAAATTCATCAATTTATCCCAAATGACAGGATACTCTTTATCTTTCTTATAAGCTGGGGGAGCTGAATAAACAAAGTACCCATTAAAGCGAAGAAGACGGTTCAACTCATGCAGTAAAATGCCATCTGCAGAACAAAATAAATTTACAACAAAAAAAAAAGTCTGTCAGAATAACATGCACTTCATGAATAACTGGATAAATGAGTTCATCATCCAACATTAATTGCACTCAGTTTCCACCGTAAATATTATTTAGAAAATATCATTCATTTACTCTGCCTATGAAATAGTTCCCATCCCACCAAGTCTTTTAAGAGGTATGATACAAATGTTTCACAAAAACGTAAGTATTGTGCATTCATCAATTTCGCTTGAGAATATCCATCCTATCTCCCTCTCTATTTCTCGCGCTCTAAATTGGACAAAGTCTATCCATATAAGGTACCTCACCAACCTATGCAAGTCCCACATAATAGTACTATATTAGCAATGAAGTATTTAATTGTTTGGTTCTTCCCTCTTAACCAAAGGGTGCTACACGGACTTTTGATCTTATGCCCGTGAAGGGGGAAATAGTGATAGAAAAATATTGACCTGGGAGATTGATGAAGAACTGCGTGACATTTTTACGAAAGACAGAAACAATAGGGGTAAGGTGTTCGACTTAAATGTTTGGCCCTATAGTCCCTATGATATACCTTAATCATGTTTACATATTTTGAGAATTACAAGATATGGTCCAACTAAATACAAAACCCCAACTTTCTCACTTTTCCTTAAAGGAACAAACTTTCTTAATCATGTAGGACTCCACTTTCATTATTCTATGATCACTCCATTCTGGAGAACGGGGGCAAACCTCCCAAGAATTAACTTGTAATCCTCCCAAGAATGGGCAAACCTCCATTCTAGCGTCTCAATTATTGACATTGCAACCCCTTTACCAACTGAAACATTGAAATGTCTTTGTACATACACCTCCCTCCATCAACACTATTGACAAGAAGCAGATCATGTAGATGGCTTGTGAATCGGATCATAGAACCCACATTGAAGTATAGGTAACAACACATTGCATCTTCATTTACTGTCATATGCAGAATTAAATGTGCAATCATAAATAATGAAAGTCAATTACCATTTGCATGAAAGTCTACTCTGCATCGTGAACAGTGAATCATTTCAAATGACTCACTAGGATATGGTAGTTGTTTTGTGGACAAGGCAGAGATCATTGCACCAATCCCTCGTTCTAATGCAAATTGAATCTGATTTTCGTGACCATCCTTGGGGGCAAAAGACATTGTTCGTATATCCAAGGGCAGAAGATATGCTGAAAAACTGGCCACACCACAGCCAACATCCAGAACTTGAACTACCCCAGCAGAACGCAGATCACCAGCCTCATTGGTAATCATATGTCCTAACCTGCATTCATGAAAATTAAATGGCTAACAGCTATGTTTTGCACTATTCAATCAATAGAAATTTTTTCCTGAGGAGCACCAACTACAGAGAAAAAGTTCAAGGAAAAGGAGGCAAAAATTAGAAAACTGTTCATGCTCATCTTATTTTGGAGCATCGTGCAACATAATAAAAGCATAGATAGAGAAGATTACTAAAATTTAATATAAATATTCGAAATCATAAATATAATTTAACAAAATTGATATGGCCCAAACCTCTGAATCTGAAGTTGCTAGTAGAGGCTAAGGGACACAATGAACGGTCTACTAGTGGAGAAGTTCCAAGGTGAGGCCCAAAAGGAGTGTTTTGAATCCTAGCTGAATGAGATATTTCCAGTAATTTAGAATGATGTAATAATATTTAGTGGAGGACAGATGTCAGCGGATTCCTTTTGTTTGTGTAACGACCTTTCTGTTATAAGGAGGCTACGTTGAATGAAAGATGCAGAAAAGTTGTTCAGAAAATTATTCTCTCTCTCATTTTTCTGGAGAGTATTCCTTCTCTAGAATCAATGAAAATCAATTATGTAACAGGGAATCCCTGTTAGCAACATTCAAAGCAGTTCCCACAAGGTGGGGTCGTCTAAATAAATCAACAATACCATTGTGTTTTGTCAAAACCAATTCATAGAGGTCATTTAAATCTAAATTCTATGTGTGTGCATGTGTTCAATGATTAATTAGTTGCATGTTTGCATGTGTATCTTGACATGTTTTCTTCACATAGCCATCCTCAATCTGATTTTAAAAAAGTACTCACACATGGATTCGTTCTATTAAAAGAAAAATAAAATCATCACAACAGTCTCCAATGTAACCACAAAAGCTTATAAAATCATCAAAAGAACATTTCTACAATTATCATGGTCCTTAGACAAAGAACATAAGGAACTTAAATAAATGAATAGCAGCTACCTCTCTATGTACTCAGAGGCCCCATGCTTGAAATGGGTACCACCACCAGGAAACCACCAGAGCTGATCCTTCTCATGGACCCAATTTTGGCCTCCTTTGACTTCTGCAAGATGTGTGTGATTCACATTACTTCGCCAAACATAATCCCTGCTAAGAGGCCATTTGATAGGTATCTTATAATCCTTTGGCGGAGGAACCAAGCAGAATAAGCGCTTTTCAAGAGGAGGACAATGTCTCTCAAGTTCTTCTTTTCTAGATAAATCAAGACTTGGGGCCAAAGTTGCCACATAGGAAATATCATGACAGGGAATATATTCATTGAACGTCAAAGGGCACACATCCACCCCTGTTTCTGGAATTACAAGTGGGGTTTTCCGATAAGTCAGAGCAACTTGGTTAGTAAATTTGGCAGTACCTGCAAGAGTTAAAAACATTTAGTAATCTTTCCCAAAGCAGCACTATGAAACAGTAATAGTAGGTTTGGATGAGAAATTTTTAAAGGGCAATATATTATTTTACAGAATTTGAAAATGAAATTGAATATGAAACCAGGAATATTTTTGTTTTAAAAGAAATTGAAATTTTAGGAATCTGAGTGTAAATTGATTCCTTAAAATCAAATTCTTTCAAATTTCACCTCAAAATGTAAGAAATAAAATCTTCATACTTTATTCACTCTCATATTTGTCTCATCTCTTTATATTCTTTTCTTGGTTCGCCTGGACTGGGAACATTGACGACTAGGTCAAGGTTGAGGCAACATAAACTCGACACTGTTATTTGAACTGAGATAGATAAGGGGTTTTTTTTTCATGTTGAAGTTGATCATGATTATTTATTTATTTTTATCTTTGTCAAGGTTATTCTTCCAAATATTGGCCAATGTTAGTTCTCAACTAATGTTAGTCAGAACTTACTTGGTAAACATCAATAAAGTTTTCGACTGATGTCACACAAATTTTTTCTATTGACCTCAATTGAGACTATCTTTAGTTGGTGTTAATTTGGGTTGTTTTCTAGCCAATGTCGTTCAAAAAGTATGTTGGTGTTATTTCTCAACCAACACTAGTTGGGTATTCTCGACCAATATTCGCAACCTATTTTTCAGCTTATACTAGCCAAAGATTTTTTATTGACAATAGAAAGACTATTTTTCAATCTATATAAGTTATGATTTTTTAGTTAACATTGATAGTGATTATTTTTCAATTAACATTGTTGAGATTATTTATCTACAGAAATTATTTCTTGATCTCCGTTAGTCAAGGTTTTTCGACCAAGGTCAATTAGGCTATTTTTTGGTGGATGACAGTCGTATTTTTTCAGTTGAAGTTTGTCATAGTTAATTTTTGTCAATGTCAGCGGGAATAGATTTTCGATTAACTATCACCAACATTATTCTTTTATTTAAAGCTGGTCAAGATTTTATTTTCAAATGTCGATTGGGAAAACTTTAGACCAATGCTCAATGTTGGATACGAATTATGGGTTTACCTTCAATGAGCTTGTTTAATATGAACACAATTCTTAAAAAAAGATAAAAGGTTGATACTGTGTATAAATCTTCCTTAATGTGGATAGGGATTTCACGTATACATCAACAAATTCTTCATCACACTAGTTGGGTTCTGGATAATGGATGGTGTAACAGTTTCTAGTATGATGTTGGGGTTCTTGATTATTCTATTATAGATTTTCTCCAATTGCCTCTGGTTATTCGACATCAACTTACAACTACTTTCAGTGATTTTGGATTGAATGATGGGTGGAAAATTCCAGGGTTTATGTTAACAAATTAACTGGTTTACATGAGATGCTATATGATATGTGGGTTTCTTTAAGAGACCAAAATATAGGTTTATATACTACTTGTCTGTTTATTGTTTTTAAAAACAGTTTTAAATTTTTTAGTTTTTAAAAACTAAAAAACTTGTTTCATGAATGTTTTGTTAAAATGGTTTTCAAAAATTGTGTTGCTTTTTAGTTTTTAAAAACTAAAATACCAAAACAGATAAAAGTGGTTTTTGTTTTTAATTTTCAGTATTTATTAATGGTATTCATATCTTCACCAATAATTACACTACATCGCCCACCTTTAACACCATGAAGTTAAAAAGAAAATTTTCAACAGTTGATATCATCTTTTTGCTTTAAGAGTTTCCAAACTAGATCTACTAAACAAGTATTTTTCTCAACAATTTTTAAACTGAAGGTATCAAACAAGTATTTTTTTTTTCCAACTTGTTTTTGAAAACAGTGATTAAAATTGATCTTTAAATCTGTTTTTAAAAACTACAACACAAAACTAAATCAAACAAGCAATTGTTATAATCTCCTCATACAATTTTTTTAACTCTTATTTTATTAATAAAGTTTTGCCATGATGTAAATGATTGGTGTGCCTAGAGGTGCCAAGGATGTTCATGATGCATTACATGACAATTTAAAAAAAAAAATGTATTGGAATTTCCTAAAAATTGTGAAATTCCTTATCCAAATACAACATATATTTGATTTCCTAAATATTGTGAAATATCCAAACACAATGTAAAGTTTAATATAAGTTTTCAAATAAGCCACCTACACTAAGTGATATGCCAAAAAGTATAATTAGAAACTGGATGCAACTCAACCAAGGCTAATGTACATTCAATTCATATAAAGCAATTTCCTCTGCATAGAATATATACACATTAATGCAAACTATTTGGAGAGGACCCACTTGGATCTGATAGAACCAAAATGATTCTAAGTAGAACTAACAACTGCATATTAACACTCATTCACTAGAATATAAAATCAGAAGATACTTCAACATTAACAAACTAAAACCGCAGTATAAATCTGGGAATCTGCAAACAGCGGCATTTTAAAGAAGCCAATATATGAAATTAATGGAAGTTGAAGAGAAACCCAGATAGGAAAGCTTCAAAATTTCTTAAAAAGGCAATAAAGGGGCAGCAATAAAAGCAGGGAGCTGAAGAGTTACCGTTAGAGGAGACATTGTTGGGAGAAGAAGAAGAAGAAGAATGAGAAGCAAGCTGAGAGACGTAAAGGGGAGCATTGTTGCCAAAAAGCGTGCCAACATAGAAGGATACAATCATCAAAAGCAAAGCAGCCATTATTATCTGTCCAGATTTGGAATCGAAGGCAGAACCCAATGCAAAACCCCCCATCGTTGTTGTCCCTTCTCCTTCTTCTTCTTCTTCTTCTTCTTCTTCTTCACTCTCTCAGTTGGGTTTCCTTGTGATGTTTGGGAGAATGGAAAACGTTGAATCAACGAAGGAGAAAGAGAAGGAGTGGCCAAGTTTCAGATCGGGTGAAATTCTTGGCTTGTTTTCTTCATTTTATTTTTCCCTTTCTGTGTTTCTTTTTTGGGCAATGGTTGTTTAAAGTTTGTTTTAAGTTTGTTATAAGGCATTTTAATCATTTATGGGTATGTGGCAACACTTGGCGCCATAGAACCACGTGGCTGCAAGGTAAAGTGTTTCTCACCGCATCTATGTTATCTATATATGCATAAAATAAAATTATCTTTTTTAATTTTATTCTTATAGTTTTTTTTTTCCTAACATTTCATTATTAAGTATTTAAACATAGGAGTCTCATACATATATAAAGTTTATATTGTTATTGAAAAGTAAAAATATGTATGTTTTTATTAGTTTATTTTATTAACTCAAATTCTCTTATTTAATAATTAAAAACAATTTTTAAATAAGTTATTAATATATTTTTAGGTTAATTTTTTATCTTTTAAAATATATAAATTATTTTAATTCACTTTCACATGCTAATAAATAAATAATAATATTTAAAAATATTTTTTATCTTTCATATTTCTTTCGTTTTAAAAGGATGTCTATATTATCATTAAAAAAAAAAAATATATATATATATATATATATATATATATATATAACTAAAAATTATGTTATCTATAAATTAAATTGTACTTAAATGATAATATGAAACATAATTAAAATGAAAGATTATTATAACAGATTAAGATTATTCTTAAATATTTTATTTTAATTTATTAAATTGTATGATTAGCTTAAAAATTTTATAAATTTTAAAATATTAAATTTTATTATTAGATTAAAACTTTTATAAACTCAAATAATTTTATGAAAAATAATTTTTATTATTTTTTTATAAGTGAATCTCATAGTTTCTTATCTATTTATAAGTAAGACGGGGAATAAATTTAGTGTGATTTTATTTATTTTTAATGAAATATCTAAAAATTATATTAACTCATTGCATCCTAATAACGTAATAGTTAATGATGGTTTAAAATAACTATCTTTATTATTTCACATTATTGAGATGAGTTGACAAGTTTACTTATTTTTAGAAAGATATTATATTTCATAGATTTTATTATAATTTAATATTAAAACAAATATTTATTAAATTAAAAATAATAAGATAAATAATTTTTATTCTTAAAATTAAATAAATAAATATTTATATTATCATTTCATATACAAATAATAATTTTGAATCAATTTTGTTTTTCCATAATAAAAAGTAATGATGGTTATGTTCAAATGGGCCCACTCAACTAATCAAGCCCAACATAGTTTTCGTAAATCAAATTATTATTGTGAAATTAAATTATTTTGTTTCGATGCTTTATGAATATACCTAGTTAACGTTATTTTTAATTGCTTTAAAAAATATTATTTTTTATCAACTATTTTGTTTTAATGTTTATTTAGAAATATAGTACTATTAATTTATTATTGTAATATAATTAGATTTTGATTTTTTTAAAGTTGTTAGAAAAAATAAAAATATTTCATATTGAACTTTTTTTAAAAGTGTTTCAATAAAATCAGTTTTCTATAAATATTTTGAAAATTTAATTTTAAAATATTTTCGAAAAGGTTAATTTAAAATTTTTCGAGATTTTTTAAACTTTTAAAAAAATCAATTCAAAATTAAAATTATATATACAAAAAATTATTTTTAATTTTTTTTTTTAACTTTCTATATTAATCTTTTTAAAATATAAAATTATATTGCGAAATCATAAAATTTTGTAAAATTAATAAGATTGTTTCTATGTTTTAAAATAAATATGGGTACGAAAAGTGGAGAACGTGCCTAATTTATCACGTTTTGAGTTGTGTCAATTTTTTTGTTTCCATTTATTTTGGGAAATAGCTTTTGAGACAAGTAAAAGCTGGATGAATCTTGAAAGTAAGAACGACTTATTTGAATAAACAAACTTCTTCAAACCTACTTGAAAATAAAGATGAACACGAACTTCTCTAAGCTTAGATTTATAGACAAACTTGTTCAAATGATTCCTAAATATATAATTAATTTTATACTCTTTAGAAAAATATTTTATAAGTTTTATATAAAAATTATTTAACCACTTTATAATAGTAATAATAATCATAAAATTAATCTATATAAATAATACCGATTTTCAAACCGAATTATATTTAAGTTTTTAAAATTGATTGGATAATTATTTAATAAAAACCAAATCAAATTAAGTAACAAATATCCTTATTGTTAATTATTTTTTCTTATTTATCTTTACATAGATTAATATACTAACTGGATATATTTATGAAGAATACTAGACTTTTCCGATAAAATTATATATTTATTATATTTCTTAATTTATTTGTAGAAAAAAGGGGAAGGTAATTTAATTAGTGTCCCAACTTCCAACTACTAACGTCAATTTGTTTGATAGTGCTTTTAAGTTTTTAAAAATGCTTTATTTAATATATTTTCTCTATGGTATATAGAAAATTTTTTTGGATATTTAATCAAAATGTTTTGTTCAAAATTGGTGGCTGAGATTAATTTCGCATATATTTCAATGATATTTAATGATTTAAAACTAACTTTATAAGAAATATAAACAAATAGATAGTGATATAATATTTTTCGAAAAAAATATATTATAAAAGAAGATATATTAAAGAAAACACGTTTGATTGATGCAGGAAAACAGTTAGCAACAAAAGTACGCAACAACATTAGATGTAGCATTGAAATTCAACGTTAACAGGGGAGCCACAGCGCACTTTTCTGACTGGCTCCCGCGTCACCATAACGACAACTTTATCTTCTTCTCGCAAATCCCAATGCCCGACTCCCTTCATTCTCATTTGTTCAAGTTCCAAATCATAGTTATCGCCTTTGGAACATAAACAACGATTTCTCTTCCCGCTAAGCCTTTCCATCTTTCCTTGGCTTAGCGGGAACATTTTTCTTTATCTCCTTTCATTTCATCCCCTTTCTTTCAGCTTTTTCCTTTCTGCAATCACACTTTATCACATTTGATTTGACCCCTTTTTTGTATCCAATCTGATCCGTGTTCTCCTTCCGGATAATCGTTCCCCTGGAATCGAAGATTTATGTTCTTTCGCTTCTTGTTCATCTTTAAATCGAATGTGCCGTTGTGATGTTTGATCTATCTGTTTACACAGTGCACTTTTGTTGATATTGCTCTTGGACTGGTTCCTTGTTAATTTTATCCATTTATGCACTACTTGGGTGTTTTATACGAACTGAATTCGTTTATACGCTTTTCTTAAGTTTACTTGGCCTTCCAATTGTAAAGGCCTTGACTTTTAGATTTTACTCTTTGGTGGTATCATAAAAGGGCCAGCTTGTACCGGGTAAACTCTTATAGAGCACTTTGTCCTATTAAAGGGTTTGGCTTTTGAGAAGAAAAATATTTACTTTCATCCTCCTGGTCTAAGGATGGATCATATAAGTAACGAGGCTAGTGTTGACCGTTTTGCGATTGGCCCTTCTAGTATTATTGGCAGGACTATTGCTTTCAGGGTTCTCTGCTGCAAGTCTATCTCAAAATTGAGGCATCAGATACTCTTTGTGTTGTTGGATATCTTCCATAGTTTTAGGCGATTTTGGGGACCCATTGTGTCATGGTTGCACCCAAGAAACCCGCAGGGGATATTGGCAATGATGACAATAGTTGCTTTCTTGTTGAAACGGTACACCAATGTGAAGGTGAGGGCTGAGATGGTATATAGGCGGAAATTTTGGAGAAATATGATGAGATCTGCATTGACCTATGAGGAGTGGGCTCATGCAGCCAAGATGCTTGATAGAGAGACACCAAAGATGAATGAATCAGACCTTTATGATGTGGAGCTGGTGAATAACAAGCTTGAAGAGCTTCGTCATCGCCGGCAAGAGGGGTCTCTTAGAGATATAATATTTTTTATGCGTGCAGATCTTGTCAGAAATCTAGGTAATATGTGTAACCCTGAACTCCACAAAGGTAGGCTTCAGATGCCAAGACTAATCAAAGAGTATATTGATGAGGTATCAACTCAGTTGAGAATGGTCTGCAACTCTGATTCAGAGGAGCTTGCATTGGAAGAAAAGCTATCTTTCATGCATGAAACTAGACATGCATTTGGGAGGACCGCTTTGTTGTTAAGTGGGGGTGCTTCCCTTGGAGCTTTTCATGTTGGTGTGGTTAAAACACTGGTAGAGCATAAACTTTTGCCGAGGGTTATTGCTGGTTCAAGTGTAGGATCCATTATGTGCGCTATCGTTGCCACTAGGTCTTGGCCTGAGCTTCAAAGCTTTTTTGAGGATTCATTGCACTCATTACAGTTTTTTGATCAACTGGGTGGGATTTTTACAGTTGTGAAGAGGGTCACAACATATGGTGCAGTTCACGAGATCAGACATTTGCAAATGATGCTCAGGAATCTAACAAACAATCTCACATTTCAAGAAGCATATGATATGACGGGTCGAATTCTTGGGATTACAGTTTGTTCTCCAAGAAAGCATGAACCACCTAGATGTCTTAACTACTTGACTTCACCTCATGTTGTTATATGGAGTGCAGTCACTGCTTCTTGTGCCTTTCCTGGCCTTTTCGAGGCTCAGGAATTGATGGCAAAGGATAGAAGCGGAGAGATTGTTCCTTACCATCCTCCATTTAATTTGGGTCCTGAAAAGGGTTCCACTCCAGTGCGCCGTTGGAGGGATGGTAGCTTGGAGATTGATTTACCTATGATGCAGTTGAAAGAGCTGTTCAACGTCAATCATTTTATTGTTAGTCAAGCCAATCCTCATATTGCACCATTATTGAGAATGAAAGAATTTATACGAGCTTGTGGAGGTAATTTTGCAGCAAAGGTATGTTCATGGACTTGGACCTCTATGAATGATAACACATGCATGCTGATGTGTCAGTTTATTCGCATATATATGTTTGTTAAATGAATTTTTCACTTCTATATTTTACATTATCTCGGGCTCTGTTCCGAACTGAAATATAACAACTCAGATAAAACATTATGATATCAGTTGATTCAGGGGGAGGGGGATTGTTGGCTGGTTGTCCTTGTACAGATGAATGTGATTTGGGTGTGTCTTGCACGTTACTGTTTATCGGTTAAACCATCATGGAGTTTTATTGCCCGTACTATTCCATTCCCTGCCAATTTCAAAGGAAATTAATGCCTGCAGATTTTGGATGACTAAAACAGATTACTGCCATTACCATTTACTTGCACAAACATACTACTTATCTTTGTTGATGTCTGGTGGTTTAATCCAATAAGTAGGTGGTTCATTTTGTCTTAATAATCAGTGTCATTGCTTTTAAACAAAGTAACAAGTTGGGTTCTTCAGAAGCAGCTGAATGTTGAAATAATGGTAAAATATTCCTAGGAATGTTACCATTTGTTTGCAAACTAACCATAGGCATAACTTCGAATCTTAATATACGGAATTCTTAAGTTCAAATTATGTTGTGTAACTTTTGTGTACCCTCGCCCCAGCTTGATTAGAAAATGGTGATATATTTGACCAGTTGTTGCAGCAAGGCATCATATTTGTTTTCCATTTGATCTTCAGTATGCTGCTGCACTACCATTCTGAATATACAACAATTCTAATCCAATGTGGCTTTCAATTCTGTAGCTTGCTCATCTAGTAGAGATGGAGGTGAAACATAGATGTAATCAAGTACTGGAACTCGGCTTTCCATTAGTTGGACTTGCCAAACTGTTTGCTCAAGAGTGGGAGGGTGATGTAACAGTTGTTATGCCTGCAACTCTTTCTCAGGTATGTATGTGCTCAAGAACAATTAAAAGCAATAGGCTTAATGAAATGGTTCAGGAATTTATTTATTTATAATTTAATGGAGATAATTCATTTGAATACTCGACTAACTTGTGTATGATGTTCTTTTTTTTTTCTCATCCTGCTCCAGTACTTAAAAATCATACAGAACCCTTCTTATGTAGAACTTCAAAAGGCAGCTAATCAAGGGAGAAGAGGCACCTGGGAGAAGCTTTCTGCCATAAAAGCAAATTGTGGAATTGAGCTTGCTCTTGATGAGTCTGTTGCAATGCTCAATCATATGAGACGACTCAAAAAAAGTGCGGAGAGAGCTGCTGTTTCTCATGGTCTGCCCAGCACAGTCAAATTCAGTGGTTCAAGAAGAATTCCATCGTGGAATGTGATTGCACGAGAGAATTCTACAGGATCCCTAGAAGACCTTCATACAGATGCTGCTTCCTCATTGCATCAAGGGGTCAATAGTAGTCCCCGTGGAGCCACTGGTAAAAATTGGAAGTCCCACCGGAACATTCATGAGGCAAGTGACAGTGAATCTGAAAGTGCTGACCTGAATTCTTGGACCAGATCTGGTGGACCTTTGATGAGAACTACATCAGCAGATACGTTCATTGACTTTGTCCAAAACTTAGAAGTTGATACTGACCTACATAGAAGCAAGGTGACTCAGACTAGCCCTCGTGGTTTTCAGCATCACAGTTCAAGGCACACAACTCCTGATAAGTGCTCCGAGAGCACAGAATTTGATCAGAAAGAAAATGGCAACAGGGTTGTCATGAATGGATCTAACATAATGGTAACTGAAGGTGATCTTTTACAGCCTGAAAGGATCCATAATGGGATTGTATTTAATGTTGTCAAGAAAGAAGACTTGACACCTTCAAATAGGAATCATGATTATAATAGTTATAACCATGAAGTGGTTGAATGTGTACAAATTGACTTTCCAGGGAAGGAGATGGATGCTGCTAGCTCAGCTTCTGAAAATGGTGAGGAGGAATCCACAATTTCCAGCTCTTTAACTGATAAACTAGATTATCATTCCACAGAACATTCCAGGACAGATTTGGGTATGGATCAAAACATTGTTGATAGTTAACTCTAAAGATCACTACTTTTTTCCTTGTTGAATGAATGTACTTGGGGCTATTTCTGTTCATATTGTTGATATGATTAGTATCAAAGAAAAAAAATAAAATTAGCTTCTCAATAAGGTTAAAATTAGTTCATGTATAGGTCAAAAATAAAATCTTAAAGAAACTACGCGAGAATTTCTATAAAATAGTTTATCCATAAGCTAATTTTATTTTTTCTTTTCATATTTCATTCATCGCAGTGTTTATGGAGAAGCATGTCTAAACAGGTCCTTAGTAATTTCACTATTTTAACAAAAGCTCAGAAAAAAAGAGAAAAGAAAAATCATTGCCAACGAGGGTTATTAAGTAATTTGACTATTATCAAACATATATAAATGAACGACCTAACCCCGTATCAACCATAAATGCTCCAAAAAGAAAAAAAACATTTTATGATGTTGACGTAAATATAAGAAAAGGATCAAACTGTGTTTTGAATATTTTATTTATTTATTTATTAGTAATAAAATAGTGCTTTTAACTTTTTCTTAAGTATGAACTTTTTTTTCTTAAACTTCAAAATATTTTTATGCCAATGCGAGAATTGGTCGAAATTATTATTGAAATAAAAATATATTTAAAGATTAAGTTAGGAAGAAGTCACTCGGCTTTGCCAAAGATTCAAGGTAAAATTTCTCCATAACTAGTATTAAATTAACTTATACATTAATTAATTTATAGAAAACTTTATATCAGTTTCTTTAACCTTTTACTTCTAATATATGTATAAACTAATTTAAATTTATAAACATTTAATTTATTTTTAAAAGATATTCATTTATTTTAAAAATTTTAAGTTATATTAATAAAACTATTTTTTATTTTAAATATAATAATTTAATATATAAAATTTGAGAAAAGATTTTTATTTATTTTTAAAATAAAAAATAAAAAATATTTTTATATTATTCTTAGAACAAGTATATTTTTTATAAATTAATTTATGAATATATACATATATATATATATATAATATTATTTTTATTTAAAATAATTATTATTTTATAAAATAAATCTATTTATAAATTTATGAGTTAGTCCTAAAATAAACTTAAACTATCGTATCAAAATTGGTCTAGTTACTTAAGTCAATTTTTTTTAACCTGATATATTTCTTGAACTTTTAATTAAGTTTATTTTAAACTTAAAAGTTGGCTAATATTTAATTTAAAAATTTTTTTAGCAATATTGTTTTTTTTAGGGCGATATACAAAATAATCTTAAACAAACTTTTTCATAATTATTTTTAAAATAAAATAGACTTTGTCATATGTTAAATTTAGACAATACATAAGCTAAAAATTATCCTATAAAAATATTATGACAAGGGATCTGATGTTTATAGAAAAATTTATAGCAGATCATTCTAATATTAAAAAAAATAAAAAAACATTAATTTACAAGCACCACGTTGTAGGACTGAAAAACGATGAATTTATTAATTACTAAAACGAACATCATTTTATAACTTAATCTTCATTTCAAGGTAAATGGTCCAGGAACCTTTAATAATTCAATAATATATAATATTTTACAAGATTACAAAATATATTGACATTATGATATTTGTATTAACAAGTTTATTATAAGACTATGTTTAATAATTAGTTTGCCATTATTGAAAGTTTATGGCTTAATTAAGTGTTTTGTTTGAAGTCATGCATAATCTTGTTTGTCCCACCTTTTGTTGTTGTTTGGAAATGATGACATTACATATATTCTATAAGTGTATATGCCAAAGTATCAGGTAACAATGTTATCTGCAGCTAAAACTTGAAAACCATTGTCCATTATCTGAAACAGTATTCAAAACTAGTTAGCAAAACCAAAATTAAGACACACATCATAGTCAATGGGTTCTGAACAACATCCTATGCTTCCTGTTCTACATTTCACCAAAGAAGATTTGAAACCAGGGACCGAATCCTGGTTAGCAACATGCAGAAGTGTGCGCCAAGCACTTGAAGAACATGGTTGCTTTGTAGCTGTGTATGATAAAGCTTCTGATGAGCTACAAAATGGTGTATTTTGTTCCATGAAGGAGCTTTTCGATCTCCCAACAGAAACCAAACAAAGAAACACATATGAGGGCGCGCCCTTGAAAGGCTACGTTGGACAACACCCCAAGATTCCTCTCCACCAAAGCATGGGTATAGATGAGGGAGCAACACTGGAGGGAATTCAAAGGTTTTCCCAAAAAATGTGGCCCAAAGGCAATGATGAATTTTGGTACATACCCATATAATTTCTTGCTTAACTCAATTATTTTACGTGATCATCTAGTGTTAATGATTTTATCAGGGGTTAAATAAGCCTTTTTTGGTTTCAAAATATACTATTATATATGCACTGAAATGGTTCTGCTATACCCTCTTGTTGTGGTTGTGGTTTTATCTAGTAAATATATATTTGAGTATGCCAAGGTAGCTGAAGAATTGGATCGAATGGTGGCGAGAATGATATTTGAAAGTTATGGCCTTTTAGAGTACTATGACGCATACATAGGGTCTACAAGTTATCTCCTTAGGCTTTTGGCACACCAAGCACCAGAACAGGTTGAGCCTCAACTGGGTCTTGTGGCTCACACTGACAAGAGCTTCACCACAATTCTTCATCAAAATCATGTCAATGCACTGATGGTGGAGACAAGGAATGGTACCTGGATTGATGTTGAATTCTCTTCGGCTACTTCATTTGTCGTCATGGCTGGTGATGGACTCATGGTGAGAATAAATTCAGACTCGTTTAAGGCTTCTTGTTCAGTTTATTTATTGCTCCAAATTGTGGTTTTATGTATGCAGGCATGGAGCAACGACAGAATAAAGTCCCCTAATCATAAGGTTTTGATGAGTAATGGGAATGAAACAAGGTACTCTCTTGGTCTGTTTGCCTTCTACAAAGGAATCATGAAAGTGCCTGAAGAGCTCATTGATGAAGAGCATCCAGTGCAATATAAACCGTTTGATCATCTTGCATTGCTGAACTTCACTTACAGTGCTAATATGAAAGCCTATTGTGGAGTGTGAAAAGGTTAAATTTTCAGCAAACTGTGTTGTTATCTCTCTGGGAAAAGCTTCATTAGACTTTGGTTGTTCTCGTGTGTGATTTTATTGTTCTCTGTTACCAACTATGTTGCTGAATTGTTATCACTGTATGCATGTTGTTGACTCAAAACCATGTAAATATTTGGATTTTAATGAAAGTGAATCGATAATTGATTCGACATGAGATAGAAAATTCAAGAACCCCAAATGAAAAACTTGTTAGGATATTCTATTATCAAAATTCTAATACAGAACAAATTAGCTTAAGTTAACTGTATTAATGATTATATTATAGTATATATAATACATATAGTACAATTATCACTTTAATGATAACTTAGATATCTCACTATTTTCTCTATATTTTTATTTCTTTGGGAAAGAGAATATTTACTATCATTAGAATTCATTATTACATTCCCTTTAAAAATTTAATCTATCATAATTTTATTTGATTTATAATTCAATTGGGAGCAAAAGTTTCACTTCATAGACCATGCATGGGATATAGAGGTATCTCTTTATTTTATATTGCTTCATTCTCAGTAATGATCATTTTTATAATGAAATTAAAGTTTTGATAAAAGTTTTAAAACAACCGTCGTTATATATATACAATGAGATGATATTTTTTAATTATTGTTAAAAGAAAACTTTATTGATATTATGACATCAATTTACAAGTTACAAACAAAGTTTTGAAGTGATTTTTCCCTTTGTATAATTACTTCCACTACAACAAATTTTAATATTACCGTAATTATTATGAGAATTGTCATTGATAGGGATAAATCCAAGTATCTTAGAATTAGAGGTTGATACTCCAACCACTAAGCTAGCTACGACAATAATTTACAAATAAATTTTATTTATATATTTATATATTTATATATTTATATTTTTATATATAACTAAATATTTATTTTTTAAAATTATTTAATTTAAGAAATTATTATAAATTAATCTAATTATGATTAAAATAAATTATTAAATAAAAAATATTTAATTTTTTAATTATGTGAATATTTACTAATTGTTAATTTACCGATGGAAATATCCGTCGGTAATTAATTGTTAATTTATCGACAGATTTACCGACGGATATATCTTTCGGTAAATTTATCTATAAATTACCAACGGATTTATCGACGGATATATCCGTCGGTAACTAATGTCGGTAGAATCAAATTTCACAAATATTTTATAGAATCAAATTCCACAAATATTTTATATTTGTCGATAATTTTCATCGATAATAATTATTTTTCGACGATTACAAATCTGTCGATAAATATCCGTCGGTAATACGCGATTTTCTTCTGGTTTAACTCTAAAAATTATAATACGATGAACCTTTAAGTCATACAATTGAATTTTTAAAATTTTAGTTTCTCAAAAAGTTAAATTGATCGTCTCTAAAATTCCGTGGGATTAAATTAACTTTTTATTTATTTATAAATCAACTTTCACAATTTCATCCTCTCCAGTAACTCATTGAATTATTATTTAATCTTGAATGCAGATCATTAAAAACAAAGAAAATCGTTAAAATATATATTTTTTTTTTTGGTTGATAGGATACATAGATTGTGTGAAATTAAAGACCACAATAAGCTTTGATACGACTTGTACATTTTGCGGCTTCCTCAGTAAAACGAAAACCAACGTACGAATAATGGTCGAATGGCTTATAGCGTATGGGATGTTCCTCATCGACCAGATCCTCTAAAGTCTCCACCATCTTTGTACTGTATGAAAGTAATCCCAAGGAGTACCTTGTCACCTTTTCTTTCAGCATCACACGGTGTTCACAAGCTCGAATCCTCTCACTGCTCCATACCTGATCACAAATTTACATGTTCAGACACCACAATATTCATTTACTGTAATATCAATGTAAGAGAAGCTTACCATAAGTGCATCACCAGCCAAGACACAAAACAAAGGCGAGGCATCAACACCAAACCATTCTCCACCTTTCAATTTAACTTCCAATCCATCTACCCTCTGATGCAGAATGGTTATGAAGGTTGAGTCCGTATGAGGATTCACCCCCACGTTGCTCTCATCCATCGCAGGTATATTATACCTGTAGCTTCGAAAAGCATAATTGGTTGATTCAAGGAACGACTCGCATTTCACCTTGTCCAGGCCATAGCTGTCAAACACCATTCTCTTCACGGTCTGGTCCAGCTCTTGTAATAACTTTGCATACTCGTTCACACTTTCACTGATATAAAAGAGAAACAAAGCTCGTTAGTTACATGATATATATACTTGGTAGAATATGCAGCAAAGAAATGACTGATGATATAAGTACCAGAGATGATGATTTCCTGTTGGCCACATTACGCGTGCGAATTTCTGACAATCTTGAAAGTTGGATGGATTGTCGATGGCAAAGGATTCGAACAGAGGGGATGAGGGTACTTGTCCGGTGTAGCCATGGTTGGGTTTGTCACTGGTTTTTCTCCTTTTGGTTTGGAGAGGGAGAGCGAAGAGTTGTTCCATGGCATAGAAAACGGAGTTGAGAAGGTGTGGAGAAAGCTTATGAAAGCGTGCAAGGAAACAACCGTGATCCTCGAATCCTCTCCGCACCATTTCACAGGCTTCAAGCCATGTATGGGTGCCTGGTTTCATGTTTTCATTGGAGAAGTCAACAAGAGGAAGGGGATATTCACACTCTCTCTGGCTTTCCATCGTCCCACACCGATTACTTTCAAACTTTTCTCTTTGTTAACGCACACAATGCCTTTTGAGAAACCAAGTTTATAAAGACACACTTATATGGGTTAGATTAACTTATAGTATTGATGATAAAATTGTTCTGATCTAACTTTATCTTTTGGATTAAACATGACGTTATATTTTCTTATCGTATATTTTTTTTATGATTGACTTTTATCTTATTTTTAAATTAGGTTAAATTTTCAAAAAAGAATTTACAATAATATCAATCAACTTATATCGTTTTAACATAAAAATCTAAAAAAAAAATTTAAGTGAATCATATTGAATTGCATTTAATCAAATTATATATAAACATACAATTTATTTTTTTTGGATTAGATTAAATAGATTTGAATCATAACCCATTCATGTTTATTTTTAAATACAATACTATTAGTGTTTTTAAATATATTTAATTTTTTTAACTGTAATTTTTTTCATTACTTCTTGTTAATGAATAAATAAATTCTTAACGAGCAATTTTCATTTTCATATTTATTTTTTTCAAACAGTTTTAACATGTTATTATTAAAATGTAACTAAATTGTATTTTATTATAATAACATACAATATTTAGTGGAAATAATTTGATTATAAGAGATAAAAGTTATTTTAAAAATTTTATTCAAATTTATTTATATTTCATCTACATCTATGAATTAGAACGTATCAGTAAAAAAATTTGTAAGAATTTCTCAAATTCTAATAGGGATTTTTTTTCAGATAAATATTTTAATTAAATTAAATCAATTATTTGATAGCCAACATGTCAACAATGATATTCAATAACAGAAAAACAGAAATATAAAAATATCTAAAAAGTTCAAATAAGTTTTACACTCTTAATATATGATTTATTTTTTAAAAAATATTTAATAAAAAATTTCTTCAAATTAAATATCTAATAAATTACTCATTCATTCGTTTTCTTTTTGTGAAATTTAGTAAATATTTTTCAATATTTTTACCGTTAAAAAATTTACTTAAATATTTTGTGTGAAGGAAAAATTATTAAGTATCTAGTTAAAAAAAATACTATTAGATACTCAAAACAAAACATCGATTGTATATTCAAATACTTAAGACTTGTTTTAGGTCTTATTCGTATAATTTAATGTTGAAGGGATGAAATTAAACCATTTTTTATTTAAGAAGCTATTAAAATATACTTTTATCAATGAATGTTATGATTATTTTGATTATGATCAATTGGATAACTATTATGATTTTTCATCAATTTGTAGAAAAATTATTGTGCCCAATATGTTAACTAGAAAATTTATTTGAAAATATTTTTTGATAATATTCTTATAAAATTGTTAGGTAATTGTGTGAGTAGTTTATATAAAGTCAAATAATCTAATCTTTGTTAAAATAAAGAAGGTAAAAATAATTAATTATGTTCAAATTAAATTTGAATTATTCGATTAGATAAGTATTTAATCGATTATATGACTTAAAATCATGTTTTCATAACACGCACTAATAATTGATTATGTGATCACTTAATCAATTATGTGTTTAAATATCTGTTTTAACATAACACGCTAATAATCAATTATGTTGGTACCTAATCGATTACATGGTTTATTTTCATACTATCACTACATGCAAATAATATATTAGATATTCTCTTAATCGATTATCTGAGTCAGTTACAACATATTTTTACTCTATAAAAGGATGCAAACTTTCTTAAATTAAATATATCTTTTAGAAACGATTAGAACAATTCGAAAGAACATTATGGGTATTAAAAAAAGTGTGTGTTTATGTAAAATGCTTTGAAAATCAACTGAAAAAAGAGGTTATTTGGCTACATAATGCAATGTTATAAAAGTTTAAGGTGAAATTGTTCTTGTTTTTCTCTTTGTGAATCTTTTATTGTATTTTGATGTATGTGAGGTGAGCTACATCAAATTATTTTGGAAATTGTGAGGAGAAATATTTCAAGTGTTTTGATTTGTGTTTAGATCTTGATTAAAGGTTGATGTAGTCAAGATTATCAGGTTAGATTGTAATATGGTTACTAAACAAATTTTAATCAAGCTAAAGTTGTTTGATTAGACTGGATGTAGATTCAAAATAATTGAATGAGTATAAACTGTTGTGTTTTTTTCTTTCTTTTCCTTATCTTGATGTGATCTTAACACTATTTTAGTTCTTTTATATTTGATTATCAGAAAAAGTTCTTTGATAATTTATTAGAGTTGAAAAGAAATTGAAAACCCAATTCACCCCCTCTTGGGTGTATCTAGACATTCACATATTTCTAACAATTTGTCTCAAAGTTGGGTTATCAAAAGTTAATTGATTTTAATAAAAAAAGAATAACTAACATTTCTCAAATTTTCACTCAAGGGGCATTTATAAACATACCTCCTTTATTCTCTAGTAAATATTATCTATTTTGGAAAATAAGAATAAAGATTTTTCTTGAATTTGTTGATAAAGGTGTCTGGGATGCTGTTGTTAATGATCATTTTCAACCAACCAAGATTAAAGATGGTATGACAATAATCAAAGATTTTATTGAATGGACTCCTGGTGAAAATAAAATAGCTCACTATGATGTTAGAGCTAGGAATATTATTTCTTCTACACTAACACTTGATGAATTCTATAGAATCTTTATTTGTGAAACAACTAAAGAAATGTATAGTGTTCTTGAAGTCACTCATGAAGGAACTGAAGAGGTAAAGAGAGCAAGAAAGAATAGTCTTATTCAAGAGTATGAAATATTTAGAATGAAGACCAGAGAAAACATATATGATATTCAGAAAAGATTTACTCATATTGTAAATCATTTGATGGATCTTGGGAATATCTTTGACAAAGAAGAATTGAATATCAAGATTCTAAAGAGTTTAGGAAGAAATTGGCAACCCAAAGTGACTGCTATTTCATAATTAACAAATCTTACAACAATGAATATGACTACACTATTTAGGAAGCTAAGGGAACATGAGTTAGAACTTGGAAAACTCAAAGAAGAAGAAGAAAGTGAAAGAATACACATTGTTGCATTAAAGACTGTTACAAAGAAAAATGATCTTATGCAGGGAAATGAAGATGAGGATTCTGATAGTGAAAACTTGAATATGTTGGTAAAGAGGTTTTCTAAATTTTTGAAATGCAAAAACAAATCTAATGTTAAACCATTCAAGAAATAGAAACAGGGGAATATCCCTACATGTTATGAATGTGGAAAACATGGACACATCAAGCTAGATTGTACAATATTCAAGATGAAGCAAAAACTAGAAGACAGAAAGGAAACCAAGAATTATGAACTAGGCATACTACATATAAATTCCTCTAATTAAAAACTAGTCTGCATAAAATCTAATAAAAATAATCAATTAATATTTGACATAATTGATTAGATCACCTCCAGGGATGTAAAATAATCGATTAGTAATAAAATTAATTAATTAAATTAACAATTTTAGAAATTTATAAGGTGTGCTCATAATCGATTATCAACTTATATAATTGATTAAAATAACCTTCTTCAAACTATGGTGCTTACGTTATTAATCAATTATCCACTTATATAATCGATTATCATACGTACAAAATTAATTCAATTAAAATCCTCTACATAATATACTTTACCAACTTCATCTTCACACTTTCTCATCTTCCTTTAAGTCTCTCCTTCGAAACGTTAGCCTTCATTGCCCACAGAGCTTTTCTTGTAACTCCTTTTCTTCCAAATCTTCTTCTTATTACTCTGATAAAATGACTTCAACTGCAAAATCAAAGAGAATGAAGAGAACAGCTTCCAAAAGACCTCTAAGAATTGCTTCTGCAAAAGGTTGGGTCAATGATGATGAATAGAGGGAGAAGTTTATCATTCATTGGAAGGAAAGAAAACTGATTACTCATAAGTATCTCTCTATCTCATTTTTTAGACAAAATGGTTTTCTGTTCAAGATTTGCTACTATATCAAGGCCTAGAAAAATTCATTGAGATGAATGGGGTATTTTACCCTGACTTTGTCAAAGTTTTTTATTGCAATTTGAAAATTGTCAATAGAAATATTCAGTCTAAAGTTAAAGGGGTAAAAATTGTCCTAGATGAGGAAATATGGACAAATGTTACAAGTTTTAGAATAGGAGGAGAAAATATTAATGGTGGATTTAAAAATTTTAATAAGCTAGTTGTGTTTAGATATTGTCTTAGGAACTCAAACATTGTTAGAAATTATTCCATTTATAAAACTGGTGGAATGAAGAATTATGAAAGGTTGTTAGCTTTTGTTATTACTTGGGTTCTTGTTGCTAGGGGGAGCAATCATGCTTAACTAACTTCTGAAGACATGTATATTATACATGCTCTCAAATCAAGATTTCAGATTGACTAACCTGTTGTTGTTAGTGATAATACGAGGAAATCATATAGGTTGCCTTTATATCCATTACCTTATTCTATTTTTCTGTCAAAAGTTTTTTAGTATGTTGGTGTAAATGTGGAGGGAGAATCATTTACCATCATGAGTCATGCAAATGCAATAGACAAATTTACTCTTCACCAGATGGGAATGGTTAAGAGAGATGATGATTGGTTCTTCAAAGATGAGAAAGAATTTGTTGATGAAGGAGTAGAACCCATAAATGTAGATATTCATGTCTCCTCTGTTAGGAGTAATTTTAATGCTTTTGAATAAGGTATGTTAGAGAAATTTGATAAAAATACATCTTAGGCAACAAGAGAAACATGAGTATTACTAATCTAGATTTGACAGTTTGGATAATTAAGTATCTTCTATTTTATCCATATTACAACAAGAACAAGATGGCACAGAGTGATGATGTAGATGACGAAACAGTTGAGCTATTTTCCAATGATGATGAGTAATGCTTTCTTTAATCATATTTTAAATGTGTTTGAACAATTTCTTTGTTGCTTTGTAATATTTGACATATTAATTTGCTGGTTTGTAACTACTAATACTTGATATAAC